AACCAACTAGACAAAATCACCCAACAAGATCACTAACTTAGCTCTCAGCTACAAAAAAGTACCATAGTAGTTGTCTCGCTGATCTCAACTTGTCCAACAGAAAACCTGGTGATGTATTTTAATGACATCCATCAAATAGTGAGGTGTTAGTTCTTTGAGTCATCGCAAGGTATATACATCTTATACCTGTCGACTTAGTTATTAGTGAGACTGGTGTAATTAAAGGCAAGTAGCAGAATCAGGATACGTTAATTATTCTGCCGAACGGGACCGAACTATCAAAACAAATCCCAACGAAAAACCCGACGTATTTGTCCGGATTAGACTACTGAACCGCATACGATACCCAGAAACACTTCAATAAATACTTCTAAGTAATTAATGCCTACCAACAGTCTAATAACTAAATTTCGAAGCACTTCTAACTGATTTGTTTTGAAATTTGAGGAGTATTGAATATCAACTTATGCAAAATAATAGGTTCCTTAGGAACGAATAATAGCTGCCGGGTTGGAGGAATCTAATATAACCATATGTTTTGGGTTGTTAATACTATCAATAATGGGCGAACCGGTACTTCATCTTTGAACGTATAGCCAAAATTTATATGCTGAGGTTTTAATCAACTTGTGCTAATTTCAACTCTCACAGCTTTGTACCCGACAAGCCAAAACTAGAGTTTCTCAACTGTTAGGTCCTACCGGCTCAACCAACAACGACGGTGACGCCGCTAAACGTTTGGTTGTACGGTACTCTCGGACATTTCAACCCACCCACATTAACTCTATTGATGAAAGCTTCATCTGCAACTGCACAGGATTTTCTGAAGTGAACCTGAGCGCTGAATTAGTGTACCGGAAACTGCAGCACTGAAAAAAGACACTTTCTCTGGCCCAGATATAGTCCATTCTGCTATACTGAGGGAAACAGCTTCAATATTAGCGACACTGCCTAGCGTGGTGTTCTCACATTCGTTAAGCCGAGGCATGTTACCGGAAATTTGGAGGCTGGCTCACATCACACCAATTATCAAAGGAGGTTGACGCAGCGTACCTTCAAGCTACTGACAGGAGGCACTTCTCTCTATACCTTCAACAATTATGGTGTCCCCGATAATGCACGATTATTTATTATCCATAAAAAACTTCTTTCCACCCCAATAGCATGTTTTCAGAAAAGGTTGCTCTTGTATAACCAACCTGTTGACTGCAGTGGACAGATGGATAACCATCCTTGACCGCAAAGGGACGGTTGACGTCATTTACTTTGACTTCTCGAAAGCCTTTGATGTTGTCAACCACATATGTCCTACCAATTAGCTCAGATGATTAGGTATCAAATCACTTCTAATTGATTGGCTCACTTCATATATAAAAAGTCGACATTCTGAGGTCAGCGTTAACCATGGAATATCCTAGTGGGATGTCAAGGGTTCAGTACTAAAACCTCTTTTCCTGATTTATATGAACTGTTATGTCCTGATAAGAACAATGAATAGTAACTTTTGTGATCCATTTATGGAAAAATACTATGCGTATATTTTTGTCGTATGATTGTTCAATAACTAATCCATACGTATTCATGTCCCTCTTATTATGTGCTTTATTTTGACCTGTGAACGATTAATCTACGACTTAGCATTCTTGAATTGTGCCCGTCTATTAATTACTACCTCCTACACTCACAGCCACTTTTGGCTAAATCTCGTACAAATGTTGTTTTCTACTTTATGGTGTGATGTGGTCTGTTTAGGTTGTACATAAACCGACGAGTGAAGCTAGGCAGAAAGAAGGACTGACAAGTACTCTAGACTGCTTGCACGGGTTTTACGCGTCATTAGTCCGATCGATAATTCACTGCTCTCTAATTGGCGGTATCATTACGTTATGAATTAGTAGGGCACAGGCTACAAGTTAAAACATGAACGACCGTCAGACTTATTACTTTTGCTGATGATCTGAAACCCTGGAGAGAAGTACGTTACCAAGAAGTTAAGAGGGCACTTTAGGAGGATCTGAGTCAACTTCAAAGTTGGGCAGATGACGATGGACTTACCTTCAACACTTCAAAGTGTAAAGTAGTCCATCTGAGACATGATACATATTAAAACCTAGGTAACTCCTCTCTAGAGATATCCGAAGTTGAAAAACATCTGGTTGTTGGTGCCTTATGACTTCAAGTCTTACGCTAACTGCGACAAAAATGTCTCCCGAGCTAACCTTGCACTGGAAACGTTGAAGCGTACCTTCGGCCATTCCGACGGAAGAACTCTGCAACTAATCTTCCATAGTTTGTTCGTCCCAATTTAGAGTACGGAAACATAGTATTTCCCACTCACTCCAAAAGGATAAGTAAATTCGTGTCCAGTGGTGAGACACGAAATCAAATCGAGGACTCGAATTCATGTTTTATGAAAAGCGCCTCTAATCACTGAACCTTTACTCATTTGAGTACAGGTGTCTTAGAGGTGGCCTTTTGATGGCCTACCGCATCCTAAGCATTTCTAGACATCCCTTTAAATATATACTTAAGCTTAGTTTCAACACAAAACCTTAGAGGTACACCAAGAAACTGGAAATACGACACAGAAGAACGGACAGTAGACACACCTTTTACTCCTTACGAGTAGTCAAATGCTTGAATTCGTTTCCGGCTGAGTTAGCCTAAATGACTTCCCAGGAATCCTTTGAGAGAAAACTTGACATTCCTAAGGAATAAGGACAGCATCTTACCATCATTCACCAACTTTTTTCTTTTCCCTCTCTTATCCATAATATATCCAGATCCCCACCTGAAGGTGTCGGTGATCCACTGCCACTGGATACGAAAGCCTATTAAGCGAATGCTTCTTCTATTCCGTCCAGAACCATTTGAACCATAAGCATTTACCAAGCATGTGCTCGCCTCTGTAGCCTGCTTCGGAATTTCTCAATTAATTGACATCCATGTTTTCACGAAAACTAGAATAATCATCAATTAAAAGCCCACGTGGATTACCTTGAGTACCAATCGGACTAGAATAACAATGTAATGTGGTAGGATTCTTGATGTCATGGAACTGAATTTCATGAACTGTTTCATATATAATACACTAATTTCTAGCGTCTTGGGAGGATCACTTCGATGTTTGGATAATCTCTCTCTTCGGATTGAGTATGTTAATTTCTGAAATTAGTTGATCGTGCAGCTGTACGTGAAGTTGGTCAACATGGTTGAACTTGGTGGTTTGTTGATACGACTCAAGGATACATTCTCTAACCTTTTGGCTGTCCTGACGAAACATTTTATGAGATTTCACTCTTCCACGGCAATCAAAATTATTACACTTTACATGATTTAGTAGCTCTTTCGGAGTTGCATAAGGAAGTGAAATAGGCTTGCCTGGGAACACCAACGATTTTAGTATGCTTTTGGCATCCTTTCTGATGGGTTTAAGTAAGTGAGGCACAACTTTATCATCCTTATAATCTCTCCTTGTCATACTTCAGATTTCAAACCCTTCCATGTGATCTCCGAAAGCCTCCAAATTTGAATGTGTATCCAACAGTCTAATCGCTGGCTCCATCGTGACACCAGCGAAGATGATCTATGTCCAATGATTAGGGGCCTACTAGAGTTAGACAGGAATGGTGTGACGAGTCAGCTGATGTTGAAGTCACACCTCTCGGTCAGCACCTTACGTGGATTACCACATCAATGTATCAAGGTACTAAAGAAGCTTTGAAGACTGTACAACTCAAAGGACGTTATTACAGAAACACATTGGTTAATGTAGATACAAGCAAAAGTATGACCGCCACCGCATGTGCCAGTCTATGCATTATGACTAACTGATGCGTGTTGGTTGCCTTTGACTATGACGACGATAGATGATTTGTTCGACATTCAGTGACCCAACTGCCGTATGATTTTGCTAGGGCTCAGTGACATTTCACTGGCCTACGGTAGAACGTCGGCACAAATGAACGTATTATGTTTGTAGTTTATAATGAGCGGACAATCAAGTAAAGAAGCATAATTAACTAGTACAAATACCACATGAACTCTGTGAAAAATACTTCATTAACCATGAAATCACCTTAGATTCATCCACAAAGCAAATGGTCCATGAAAAGGCTTGTAAGACACCTAAGATCTAGTGATGGAACTTATATATGTGAAAGTGAGATTCTAAAATTCTTATATTCCTCTTTCACCATGGAACCTTATACATTGTCCAGACATACTCTTGTTCACAGAAGAGATTCATATGTAGAGAAACACTTGGACATAATATCAGTTCATCTTAGAGTACATGATAAAACGTTTAGTATGTCAGACTTTCATCAACATAAAAGAAGTTACCAGAAAACGTGAATTTTTATAATTTGTATCTCAGAACCAAATATCGGTATTAGACTGATAATTTGCTTTACTATCTATAGTTTTTGAAAGGCAGTATTATCAAGAATTGGATTTGTGCTGCGAAGCATTATGACTATTGAAGAAATTCGTACCACATCGCCAACCCATAAGTGGCAAGGAGTAGTCGTTGTGACCAGAGGTCGTCAGAATGTAGTTTTAAAAAATGCTGAATTTGTCATTCATAGATAACTTGATTTATCCCCCGAGCTCTATTATTTGCAAATGACGTGAAGAAATGAGGGATGACGTAGGACAAATGCAAAATTAAGCAGCCACTCCCTTTTATACAGATTTCAGCCGAATAAAGCAATATTGTACAACTACCTCACAGTAGCAACAATGTCTGAGATTGGAACTCCTTGGTTCTACACAACGGGTGCTTTCACAGTATCGTTCTATTGACAAGGAGATTAATCTTACATCACTGTAAGTAGTGATTCTAGGGTTCTCGTTGTACTCAGGAGTGCATTCAAACAAAGTGTAGTGAACTAAAATAGTAAATATGCATCTTTGATATAAATCTGAAAGCTTAGAATATATTTTAATAGCATTTTCTAGTTCCATAAAAAACCTAATAATCAGTTCAGGGATTAGACACTGAGTAGGTTGTCGTATATTCAAATTAGTTTCGATTGCCTGTACAGTTCAGATATGCAAGGTGTTGCCGCATCTGTTACTGATACTCTTGGAAATATCAAGTAACTTTTCAACTTTCCATGTACATAAATTTAGACCATGGCTTCAGAAAGTAACAGCTCAATCAAAGCCTACGGATGCCCGGTACTTCACGACAACGAAAAAAGGTAAACTTATTGAGTATACAAACATAACTTAGGTGAAATTTTTGAGCTGAAAGCCGAATTGAATAGTGAGAGAAGAGAAAAAAAGAAGGAAGCTGTTAAAAAGGTCATAGCCAGTATGACTGTAGGTAAAGATGTTAGGTACTCGATCCTGGGATATGCATCATACATCTTTAAGTGCTTTGTTTCCAGATGTAATCAACTGTATGCAAACTGACAATTTGGAACTCAAGAAGCTTGTATACCTGTATCTTATGAATTATGCCAAAACACAGCCTGATACTGCAATAATGGCTGTGAATACCTTTGTAAAAGTCAGTTTTACTAACTGTGAATTTATTTTCTAGGATTGCGATGATCCCAATCCACTTATTAGGGCGCTTGCTGTACGAACAATGGGATGCATACGTGTTGAGAAAATAACCGCCTATCTCTGTGACCCACTCCGTAAATGTCTTAAAGACGAAGATCCGTATGTCCGCAAGACAGCTGCTGTTTGTGTAGCAAAGCTGCATGATATAGATGCTCAGTTAGTGGAAGATAGTGGATTTTTGGAACTTTTGAGGGATTTGTTATGTGACAGTAATCCCATGGTAGTCGCTAATGCTGTTGCATCAATAACTGAAATATTGGAGATGACAAATTCTGATTCTGCGAGGTCCTTACTTGCCTTCGACGGCCCAGTAATTAACAAACTCTTGACAGCTCTTAATGAATGCACTGAGTAAGCAGTTTAATTTAATAGTTCTATGTCTGTGTTATAATGTATTTTTTAGGTTAATTCACATTAACTTCCACTATAAGCAAATGATACTCTTTCTATTTACTGAACTCATGGAAGAGGTCGATTGTGTTGTTTAAAGATAGTTTGCTTTTCATGTTTTAATGTCTGTTACCATGAAGTACTTATGATTACATTTATGGTCACGTTCATGCAGTGTCGGTGACTTCGAATTAGTTAAAAACATTGGTCTAAATGAATTGATTTCACTCACATGGTAACTGTGGTAGTAATGCTTGACTTCATATTGGCCCACTAATTAATTAATGTTTACACTGACTATACACGAACAAAAGTTGCATAATATCAATTTTTTCAAACCTTCCCCTTTATTGTCACTTCCTTAATTTCGGTCCGAAACTGAGAGACAGAATAAGCAAATCAAATATCTGAAGAAAGCCCTCTTTATGGCCTTCGTCCTAGCTCAGTTTCTTTTAAATGTAGAATCGTATTATACATGGGGTATCATTGGAATCTTGGAATAATACTACTGAACAAATGTCGAAGTTGGTGGCATGTATGTAAGCCCAAAATGTTTTTTGTTTCCTCGAAAACGACCCTTTGAACAACTAACTTGTTTTCAAATAACGAAAAAAGCTATTTATAGCAGATTGAATATAGAACTTTGTTAATATTCTTGATATGAGGATTCCATTAGTTGGGTTTTTCCGTGTTTGTTTACCACTTGTCACACCCAACTATAAGTAACGAAGTAGCCTCTTAACAATAGGTCACACGATAAAACTCTCTAAATTAGTCATTTAAACTTCATGTGTTGAAATATAATTCTACTTACGGAGATATTGAAAACTGGTTGGTATTATCCTACACTTTTCATTCGTTGACTTTTTCTCCCTTTATATTATCTTTAGTTTCCGCCATTCTTATTACTGTTGCTTTAACTTCTTTGTATCTCCTCTGATTGGTCCCCTCTGGATACTACTAGTGTTGAGTGTGGCATGTTGAACCGATATAATCTGTAAGACTTCGTGTCATATGATAGGTTTGATTTGCAGCATTACGTAAACCTGAAGTGATCCGTTAAGCCAATAAATATTTTAAGGACGATAGGAATTAATGAAACAAACATTCTTGGTCCCTAGCTATATGTGGCTTCATATTGAGTAGATAAAACTAAGATGCTCGCTTAATACATTATTTTGTTTGACTTCCACTACATGAGATGCGGTAGTTCAGCATGATTTTATAACGCTTATTTTCATTACCTTTTATACTCTAGGTGGGGACAAGTTTTTATACTTGATGCGATTGCAGATTACACACCTGGCGATGATCGTGAGGCACAAAGTATCATCGAACGCGTATCTCCGAGACTAGCGCACGCAAACGCTGCTGTTGTTCTATCAACTGTTAAAGTCATCATGAAAATGTTAGAAATGGTTGATCCTGCTTCCGAAACTGCGTCGACTGTAATTAGAAAGTTGGCACCCCCACTTGTAACATTACTTTCTGCGGAACCAGAAATTCAGTATGTGGCTCTGCGCAATATTAACTTAATTGTTCAAAAGCGTAGAGATATTTTAAAGCAGGAAATAAAAGTAAGCAGCTGTTGTAAAATTTAAAGCCATTTTATTGGTAGGTTTGTTTGGTGATTAAAAACAGTTCATACCTTGTAGATCAATGTGTACAGAACCCTCTTTTAAGTACCTATCTGAACTCTGATCATGATTTAGTCTGTACCAATCCTATCCTGCGATTTGGTGGTCAATAAATGCCTTGTTCTAAATGGAATAATATATGCAAATCGGTTGTAGCTTTCGTCGCCACCGTATATCGAACCGAGCTGGGCCCAAAGTTGATACTGTCTGTGAGAGTGTATAGTAAACTTTACAAACGTTGCACAAGAACTTAAAAGCCTGATGGTCAGGGTGATCTAATGAGTTGGAAGTAGCAGCTGCGCCTGGTGACTGTTGGAAGCTATTTCAACATATCCGAACCATTGGTAGCAAGGGGTCTGGCGTGAGTGGAACAATCTGTGAGATTGATGGAGCTCCAACTAGTGTCATTCATGAACGTCTTGGACATTATGGAGAATTTTCCAAGGAACAGTTTAGCTGGCTTTGTTTTTGCCTATCAACACTGATCAAACTGTTCTCTCCTCCTCATGGTAGGCTTGACGCAAACTAAGCCATAATCTGAGTCCAGACATAACTAAACTCTCAAGACAGATGAGCTACTGGGGCAGTTGAAAAATAAAGGTCAACATAGGGTGAAAACAAAGCAAAATAAGAAGTGAAGCAAAGTATGACAAACTTTTATTTAATAAAAAATAGTTATCGCTTGAGTTATAAAAAAAGCACGTATATCAGTCTATTCATAATTTTTGACCAAAATATTTAGGTATGATCTGGGTTACTTCTCCGGCACCACCCCCAAATGCCCTGGTACGACCGAGGGTGGAGAGAGTCAGCTCTCCCTCTCCAAATGCTATCACATGGCCACGCGTATACAAACATTGCCAGGGAAGTCCTAATCACTGTCTTATCGTAGCGGGGTGTTGTTTACGAAATCGAGAGGACGAAAAGCTAATGTTTGGTGCTTTAACCGGGTTAGTGAATATGGAGGGTCCACCTAGGTGAGTTGGAAAACCCTGATTCCAAACCAATGGTGCACATGAGCTCCAGGATCCTAAAGGAAGAAACGGCGTATGAACCAATTATTGGTCACTGGCTACCATGAAACTGCATGTCCTGACGTTGCTCCATTGCCTTGTGGACCAGACATTTAGGTCGAAGGCTCCGAGTGTGTCCCTTTAAGAAAACCACCTGCTTCGATCTGGGCACCCGAGCAGTATCATAGACCACACACAAATCAAGTGACTTGTGTGGCGCATGTATTCGGTGCCCCTTCGTACCAATATTTGTGTTCAAATAAATAAAAATAAGCTCCGGCACCTAAACCAAAGCAGGCGATTTCCCCAAGGAGGTACCCACCAAGTTCTCGTTCCATAGTAGTCAGTAGCGAAAATAGCTTCACAGACCATTGCTATGACGGGTCGTCAATTGCTTTGATCACGTCGAAATCGCTTATTACTTATACTTGTAAAACGTTAGATCACTGGAATTTTCATGACGCAAAGTAGAAACGACAAGACCGGTACAAATGAAGATTTATTAACCCCCAAATGCCCTGGTATGGCCGAGAGTGGGGAGAGTCCGCTCCCCCTCTCAAAATCCTCTCACATGGACACGCGTATATAGCCTCTTCCAGAGAAGTCCTACTCACTGCCTTCTCATGGCAGGGGTGTTGTTTACGAAAATGAGAGGACGAAAAGCGAACGTCCGGAGCTTTAACCGGATCTCAAACCAATGGTGCACATGGGCTCCACTATCATGCGGGAACAAATGGCGTATGAACCAATCGTTGGTCACCGGCTACCATGGGACTGCATCTCCTCACGATGCTCCACTGCCTTGTGGGTCAGACGTTCAGGTCAAAGGCTCGGGGTGTGGCCCCCTAAGAAAACCACCTGCTTCGGTTTGGGCACCCGGTCAGTATCACAGCCCTCACACAAATCAATTGAGATTCGTGTGGCGCATATGTATTTGGTGCCTCCTTGTACCAATACATATGTGTTAAAATAAATAATAAATAAATAAATATTAAACCCAAAACACGACGACCCTAGTCAAAAATACACCCATTTATATATTGATTGTACACCCATTTGATTACTAATTAGGATGAAATCACATATATAAAAAATATCCAGAGTTATAACAAATCACATACTGCATGTTATGCTGAGCATAGTTCATGTTAATTTAATGCAAAAATGTCGTATCTTCAATAAACATCACATTCAAATAGATTAATATTGTACCGAATAAAATATCACATTGGATTAAAACGAAAGTAATGTTGAACAGAAATCACAATGAGTAAAAGAATGTAATTTTGTTTTTTAATCCCATCATATCAGCCATTCGTCCCCGGAGTGTCCTGGAGCATATGTGCAGTACTGGTTCGAAATCAGTGTGTTCACACTCTCCGTATTTACCAACGTTCGTCTTTCATTTTTACATTTCCGTAAACAGAACCCCTCGCCGCCTAGAGGTAGTGACTAGGACTTTCCTGTTAGATTCTATAAACGCATAACCATATGAAAGCATTTCAAATAGAATATTTCCTTCCCACCCTCTGTCTCTCAGTTGATTCTTGGAACTTACACTAATCTAGGCGTCGTCGCGATGTTCATCTAGTTGTAAAAAGGCGGACCTGCAACGCTTCGGTAAGAACAGTTCTGCTCAGTTGTTATGACGCCTGGGCTCTCTGAGTTGGGGATGTTAGGCAACTCTGTGTTGTAGTGGTAAGTTTGGTAACACATGTTAGAGCACATTGATGATAATTCAGTTAGTGTCATCTTCTTGATACATCAGCTCCAGTGGATGGTACGTTTTACGAACGTCTTCCCAGCGGTCTCCACATCGTACGTTATCCACTGACACTGGGACAGACTAAAAAGAGCTAAGAGGTCATTAATTTACGGCATGGCGTCAAGCTATGGTCCCACATCCTCGACCCGGACCCTAGGGATGGTGCAACTCAATGGCTTGAGATCTTGTCAGACGAGGCTCAGAATAGAAACGAGCGGCAATCCTGCTGCAGTTTTCTTCCACATTCTTCATAAAAGTGTAAGTAACTTCCCTAACTAATTCTTTCATTGGTTGCATTTTTATCTGAACGGTATCTCCCATCATATACTGTTCTTGTTCTTTTTTTCGTCTAGGCTGTCTTAATATTTCTTTATCTTTATGGCTCGTACTTTCTTGGTGCTCAGTTGTACCAGAATTTAGATGTGTATAAAATAAAAGTGGTTTATTCACTTTCATAGATAAGGTTATTTCTACATTGGTGACTGTCTTTTCCAAGAATTAAACTTGTTTGTCGTTTGTTTTAAGAAAGTAATATTGTTATCATGGATATAATCATTAGTTTAGACTTTACTTTCAATAATTATATCGTGTGTTCAAAGCACACTCCCTCTACTAAGTTTTCAACAATCAAGTTTTGTTTACCTTCATTATAGGAATAGCTATGTTCGTTGATGAATTCACTTAGTTATTGATTTCATTTTGTAAGCTTTAATGTAGCTGTTATTTGTGGTATGACATCATTTGGTGATATCTCTTCATTCTCTATTAAGGCTTAAAAGAAGTCGTTTATATTTCAGGTATTTTTTGTCAAGTATAATGACCCGATCTATGTGAAACTTGAGAAACTAGATATAATGATACGTCTCATCAATCAGTCTAACATTGGTCAGGTGCTTGCTGAACTGAAAGAATACGCAAAAGAAGTTGACGTGGATTTTGTCCGGAAAGCTGTTCGTGCAATAGGGAGATGTGCTATCAAGATTGAATCTGCCGCGGAGCGTTGTGTGTCTGCATTAATTGATCTTATCCAAACAAAAGTTAATTATGTCGTTCAGGAAGCAGTTGTAGTGATCAAGGTAAATTTAATCTATGATTTCTTGGAACCATGTGATGATTTTGTTTCATGTAGTTATCGTAGCTGAATCTGTTATCTTTACATATTATGTATCCCCGAAGTACTTTGTACGATATACGATCGTATTGAGTGTCTTTACCGGTAACTGATATCCAGATTATATAAACAAAAATCCCCCTCCAATGGTTCTCATGAACGCTCTTATTCACATTGAATCTAAGATTGTTCTATTCCCTTGCAATGAAACCCCTAAAATGCAATATGTTGTCCCATATACACATGGAGGTTTCTACTTTTTCAATTGTAGTCTTTATTGCTTAACATGTTTCTCTTTGAAATTCTCAAGTATATGTAAATCATCAGTTATTATTTATTATTTATTTATTTATTTTAACACATATGTATTGGTACAAGGAGGCACCAAATACATATGCGCCACACAAATCTCAATTGATTTGTGTGAGGGCTGTGATACTGACCGGGTGCCCAAACCGAAGCAGGTGGTTTTCTTAGGGGGCCACACCCCGAGCCTTTGACCTGAACGTCTGACCCACAAGGCAGTGGAGCATCGTGAGGAGATGCAGTCCCATGGTAGCCGGTGACCAACGATTGGTTCATACGCCATTTGTTCCCGCATGATAGTGGAGCCCATGTGCACCATTGGTTTGAGATCCGGTTAAAGCTCCGGACGTTCGCTTTTCGTCCTCTCATTTTCGTAAACAACACCCCTGCCATGAGAAGGCAGTGAGTAGGACTTCTCTGGAAGAGGCTATATACGCGTGTCCATGTGAGAGGATTTTGAGAGGGGGAGCGGACTCTCCCCACTCTCGGCCATACCAGGGCATTTGGGGGTTAATAAATCTTCATTTGTACCGGTCTTGTCGTTTCTACTTTGCGTCATGAAAATTCCAGTGATCTAACGTTTTACAAGTATAAGTAATAAGCGATTTCGACGTGATCAAATTTGGTTTTGCATAGTTTATTTGTCTCAAATACTACTTTAGTGTCCAATCGTATTTAACTGTATTTTGTCAATAGAAGCAACTACTTCGATGAATTTGGTGTTCATCATGTTATGCTAATGAGGGGTGGCAACTTGGACCGATGCATATATGTACCTGGTTCTACGTTGTAGCTGACTGAACTGTAATTGGTCCAGAGACTTTTAGGAAAGAAGCAACCTTTCTGAAAATAATCAGCCCGTTCATTACTGAACATTCAACCATTGAGACATTAGTTCGAATCCGCTTCTGTCAATCAAGGTTGTTTCAAGATTTTTATTAGTTTGTGGGATTGATGGATCAATGTGTTCTATTAAATCTTCAATTTTCAACCCTTATTTCTTTTTGACTGTAAATGTCATAAGAAAATTTCCACTCTCAATCAATATAGTTCAACCCCAGTAAATAAATACGTATTAGTCTGATTCTTTTGTGTACCATATTGACAATACCTTATTACGAATACGAAATAAATCATCCAGTGGTTGTACTGCAAGTATGTAAGACATTGTCATATACTTAATTCTAATTTACGCAACTCCCTTGGGCAACTTAATGATTGTTTTGTCTCGTCTGCGTTAATGTCTAAGTTAATAGAGTGTAAAGTCGACCACTTCACGTATATTGAAAGCCTAATCTTCACTTGTCAACGTGATTACGACCAACCACTGACCCATCTTGACGCGTGGTGTAGAAGTTGGAAGAAAGCCAGTAAAAGTTAAACCAAGACATGACATGAGCCCATGAAGTCATTAGCTGTTGAGCAAAGCCATGTAGGCTAATCCAAATGCATCCACTTTTTATTTTAAAGTACTTACATTTTTTTATTCCACAACTTTATTCATCCCTTCCTAATCTTGTTACCCGTCTCTAATCTTTTCTACTACTGACCGTTGTTGCTACCTTGACGTGGTGGTCGGGCTTACCTATCATGATGAAGCAACTGAGCTATACTGGCTGGAACAACCGTTCCTCAAGGTTCTACCATGCCAGACAGGTCGGTTGAAGAGCGGTAAGACTAAAAGCAACAAAACCAAGGTCCGAAGGCGAAGTCGTACTGCTGACTGTACAGAGCTGTGACAGCAGTAAGGTGTTTCCCTCGGACAACCAGCATCTGCAGCGATGCTGCCTTCTCACAAGGAAGGAAGGGGTTAGAAAAGGTTGACCCTAAAAATGTTACACCTCACCTTACCCCACGGATTTCCGTCTCCGGTGGTAAGGCCGTTTGAAGAACGGAGCTAACACATTAAAAACCCCACAAAAAGGCCGTGCGCGACCGGCCTCAAGCAGTTGTTCCTTGGGCTCTGCGGTCACGCACGCAGGTCGTTAAGACCAACACTAATCCGATTTCCTTTTCAGGTTCCTCAATAAATACCCTTCCATGGTGTGGGAAACCGGGAAGTGATAACCGCCCTCATACCTCTAACAGCACTCAAGACCACTGTATTCATAATCAACCTACCTCTTCAATTCCTATTATTCCTCTTACATCGACTTTCAAATCTAAACTCCCTCTTTCGGCTTCCTCCTCAAGTGTCACCACAGCCAACGATTCTTGTGCGCAAAACACTGTCCCAGGTCTACTGAAACCTCGCTCCAAACTACACATCGGAGCCTTCAACGTACGCACCATATGCCAAATCGGTCAGCAGGCTTCCTTGGCTAAAACCTTAGAATCTCGTACGATTGATGTATGCTGTGTCTCCGAAACACGCATACAGGATCCTAGCGTGGTCATTCACTTGACCTCACCTCGGCGAAACGGAGTGCCGACGAGATGCACCCTCCGTGTATCTGGCGACCCGATGGCTAGTTCTCGTAGACTGGCAGGTGTAGGCATAGCACTAAGCATTTAGGTGGGTATTTTAGTATTCCGGCACAGAGAACAGATAATGGTGATCGTCTGCTGCAACTTTGCTCAGACAATCGTTTATTTTTAGCAAACACAAATTTTAAGCATAAGGAGAGACATCGTCTAACATGGCGACCCCCTGCACCAAACCAACGATGGACTCAAATAGACCATATTGCCATCAGTCATCGTTGGAGAGGGTCAATGGAAGATTGTCGCTCATTCTGGAGTACCTGTTTGGACTCCGACCACGCACTAATACGAGCACGCATCTGCTTGCGCCTCACTGGACGCAAAAAAGCCACACAAAAAAGACTCATTAGAACCGAATTGAGTAATGAGAAAACCAAAAGTAGGTTCCAGGGACAACTGAAGTCACACTTAGATAGTTCTGAAAACAAGGCTGACCCAGATGTTGCTTGGAAAGTTATACAAGCAGCTGTGGAAACAACAGTGACATCTACTAGTGATTTAAACCACAGGGTTACAAAGAACCAATGGATTTCTTCAAGGTCTATTGCACTGATAGATTCTCGCAAACTCATCCCATCAGGTTCTGAACACGATGAAGAGCGTAAAGAAATCAGATCTAGGTTAAGCAAAAGTCTAAGGAACGACCGTGAGCAGTGGTGGGCAACGAAAGCAAAAGTGATGGAAAAGGCGGCGGCTATAGGGAACACAAGACAACTCTACAGACTAATAAAAGAAACTGGAATTAAAAAGTCAAGTGTAAGTCAGACTATTTCGGAAAAAACGGCACTCCCATCTGCTCCCAGTCCAGACGTTTAGAACGATGGACAGAACACTTTAAGGAGCAGTTCAGTTGGCCTTCAGCTACTCTACAACTACCCTCCATTCCCAGACAGTGTGAATGGGACATTGAAGTAGGTCCACCAACTCTAGCTGAAGTTCAAAAGGCTATAGTTAATCTAAAACGAGGAAGGGCAGCTGGTCTAGATGGATTGGCCCCAGAGGTCTTTAAGGATGGTGGTCTAGTTTTAGTGATTAGGTTGACTAATATTTTAGCTAAAATCTGGGAGTTAGACGTTATCCCATCTAACTGGTCACAATCACTTATCGTTCCAATATTTAAGAAAGGGTCAAAATCATCCTGTGACAACCACAGAGGGATTAGTTTAACTAATATAATATCTAAAATACTAGCCTCGATAATTTTCGGACGCCTAACTAAGACTCGTGAACTGCAAACACGTGAAAATCAGGCTGGCTTCAGTCCTGGTCGTAGCTGCATAGACCACATTTTCACCATTCGTCAGGTTCTAGAACACAGGCATACTTATCGGCGTCCGACAATGATGGTCTTTCTTGACTTAAAAGCAGTGTTTGACTCTGTTGACCGAGAGGTTCTGTGGCAGTGTCTATCATTGAAAGGCGTATCTCAGAAGTACATAAACCTTGTGAAGACTCTACTCGAACACTACTAGTCGAGTCAGAGCTTATGACGAACTGTCATCTGCTTTCACAAATTCAAGTGGCATCCGCCAAGGCTGTCCACTTTCTCCATTTTTGTCTAACTTCATCGTAGATCTACTGATGGAAATAACGCTCTCATCGACTGAATTCTCTGGTATTGATCTCTTACCAGGAGGTCCACTTATTGACTTAGAATACGCAGATGACATAGTCCTGTTTGTTGAAGGTACTGATGAAATGCAGAGTCTTTTGGTAGCACTGAGCAACAATGCCAGAACGTTTGGGATGCGCTTCTCTCCCTCTAAATGCAAGTTGTTGCCTCAGGACTGGTCTGCGTCAACACCTGAACTAAGGATAGGGGGTGAAGTTGTCGAACGCGTTGACAACTTCACTTATCTTGGAAGTCTGATCAGCCCTAATGGGTTGTTGTCTGACGAAATCTCAGCACGGATTCGAAAAGCACGTTTGGCCTTTGCCAACTTACGTCATCTATGGCGAAGGCGAGATATCCGTCTATCAATTAAAGGACGAGTATACTGCGCAGCAGTTCGTTCCGTCCTTCTATACGGCTGCGAAACATGGCCTTTAAGAGTGGAAGATATTCGTAAGTTACTAGTATTTGACCACAGGTGCCTTAGAAATATTGCGGGTATCTGCTGGGATCACCGGGTAAGTAATAGTGAGGTTAGACGCAGGGCATTAGGGAATGATAGTAAATCAGTTGATGGGGTTATGAATCTTCATCGACTGAGATGGTTGGGCCACGTGTTGCGTATGCCTGAACACCGATTACCACGGCGCGCAATGCTAACCGGTTTTAGGAATGATTGGAAGAAAGTTAGGGGCGGCCAAACCAAAACGTGGCATCAGTGCTTGAAGTCACTAACTTCTGGTCTGAGCCATGTTGGTAGATTCAGACTGCCTGGTTGGGGTCCGCGTGACTATCGTAACCAATGGTTGGAGACTCTTGGTGACATGGCTCAGAATCGATCACAATGGCGTCGGTGTATACACTTTCTGTCTTCCTTTAAACTAAGAGATTAAAATCACTTCAAATCTTTCTTTCTAGGAACTGATTTTTTATTCCTGTACTATCTCCTTATATGCAATCTTTCTTCTATATATTACCACCACTGAATTAACTACTTCTATGAATCCGGTGTTCATCTTGTTGTGCTAATGCGGCATGGCAACTTAGACCGATGCATTTACGTGCCTGGTCCTACGTTGCAGCTGACTGACTACTGATCCCGTTACCACTTTTACTACACTTGGTAACTTCGTCTCACTGTACTAATTTAATTGTAGTAACTTGAACTGGTGCACGTATGCGTCAGTTTCTTTGCTTATGATTGACTGACTTCTAGAAGGAAGCTCATCCAAGAAACATTCTAATTTCATCGTTTACAGTTGGTGTGTTTTATTCCTATTTTTTACCTCCAATGTTGTCACATAAATGACTTGGCATTCAACTTTTTTTGTGCAAAATATAGTATTTTCACCTTTTTTTCCAAATATTAAATGCAACATATTAATTTTTTATATGGTCAAAGGAAATCATACAGCACCTTTTAGACTATAATCCGGACCCTTCATGTTTCTTTGTCTTCGAGTTGAACAAGTTATCAATTAATATGACTATCAACATTTGGAGTCAACAAACACATGTTGCGTTCAGTATTCTTTCGAATCAGCAATATTCTATTTACAAATTCCTTTTATGGAATTCTAAATTCGAACGCAAAATGTGTGTTTGTCAATTTGATTTTCATTTCTTGTCCTGACTTGTGAGTTTAAGATTTTCGAAATATATTTTAAGCCTAGGCATATTTTAATAAATATAGTTGCACATAAAATTTTAATTAAAATATGCAGTGTTTCATACCATAATTTTACACTTACTAATTTTTTATTTTGAAGGACATATTTAGGAAGTATCCGAATAAATATGAGAGCATCATCTCCATCCTGTGCGAGAATCTTGATACATTAGATGAGCCTGAGGCACGTGGGTCAATGATTTGGATCATTGGAGAATATGCTGAAAGAATTGATAACGCTGATGAACTACTTGAATCTTTTCTAGACGGTTTTCAGGATGAAAACACACAAGTGCAGTTACAGCTGTTAACTGCAATAGTAAAGCTATTTCTTAAAAGGCCATCTGATACACAGGTAAATGTTTTTTTTTGTTTTTACGTGATTCTTATGCCTATTTAAAAATTTTTGTTATAATTTAGTAACATTTAGGGTTTTGTTATTATTAAGGTCCCAATGAGTATGTAACTTTCTAGATGTACGCAGCCTAAATAAGTGTCTTACATTTTCCTCAGAAGTCTGTACGATGGAAGTATCAGTTCATCGTACTAAAATTATTTTTATAGTTGAAATATACAATAAAAACCTCATAAAGTATTTAGAATAAACATCCGATCTATGGAATCCTCCCCGGCTTTTCTCTTAAGTATACATACTAAGTACATTTCCTAAACTTTGAGTATAGTTTATTCGGTTTTACTAGTAAATCCAGGAATATTAATTATTGTTACGATCTAACCAACACCTTCATTTTGACACTAATTTGAAATTCTTATCATTACTATGGCACCCTAGATTATTTGCTGCAGTTGTTTTGTTCCCATAGTACCAAATAATTCATGATTATCTTATCCGTTCATATACATTTATGATTAACGTCATGTAACTACAATTCTTCGACCAATGTTACTTGAAATTCAAGCTACCTAAAGTCTGTTTACTAAAGCAACTTGACTAATATTTAATGAACATGTTTTACGTTACACAAGTATAGAATTTCGATTTCCTAAGTGTTTTAACTAGTTTTAATGTCCTTTTGTTCAGGAACTTGTCCAAACTGTCCTTGGTTTGGCTACACAAGAGTCTGACAACCCAGATCTTCGTGATAGGGGTTATATCTATTGGCGTTTATTGTCTACAGACCCGGCAGCTGCTAAAGAAGTTGTACTCGCAGAAAAACCACTTATTTCGGAGGAGACAGATATGCTTGAGCCAACGTTATTGGATGAACTCATTTGTCACTTAGCAAGCCTAGCTAGTGTTTATCACCGACCGCCAAGTTCTTTTGTCGAAGGTAGGCATGTAGCTCGGCGTCAACTTCCAGCACGCGTAAATGGGGTCTCCTCGGCTCCTGGAGTAAATTATGGTGATTCACAACAAGTAGATGTTCCAGTTCCTACAGTTATCCCAACTCAGGTTGGTTTTTTTCTCAAAATACTCATAAGTTGTATATCACTACACTTTGCATAATAATTTAAAGGTGATTTATATGTATCAGGCATTATTTTAACTGTATATATTTACTATTTATTGGTGTCAAATAAAATCAATTAGTTTTCTTAGTTTGTATTACGTGATTTTACAGGGTTCAATGTTTCTGAAGTTCATGTTAGATATTAAGTGTCTATAAATTATAAAATTTTTAAGCGTATCATAATCATACTGGGTTTTTTGTATCATAGATTTCTATTCTCGCTAAGAAATTGTAGCTTCCAGTAATTAAGATCAATCTGTTGAGGCTTCCCATTTCAATACCTTAATACCTCAGTTCAACTTGAGATTATAACTTCCTCATAGTTTGCTTCTAGGAAGAGACTATCAAGTCCCACTTCTTTTCACCATGATCATATGAACCATTCTCTTAAGTTTGAATTTCTGATTGCGTGTCTCCCTACGTAGTTTCATGGGGATGAGTCTTCAGAAATGTACTGGGTTTTACTAAGGTTTCCACAATAAATTGATTATGTTGCCTGGAGAGCACACTTATTGTTTTTATCTTATAACTTAACATATAAAGGCTCTCCACTTGTTTATTTATTGCACTCATTCACAAGTTTCAATCGATAAGTAAGAAAGTCTGAATATACGGATGTTAGGTAATTTACAGTAATTGCCGCCTAGAGGATTCTAATATCATATTATGTTCTATCTTCAAACCAGGAGACATTAATTGGTGACCTATTGGATATTGATCTTGGAAGTGGGCCATCTACATATGATTCGACGATGCATCAGTTCTCTCGTCCTCCTGTACCAAATACTGGATATAGTTCAGCGACCCCTGATCTTTTAGGTGATGGCTTAGACGATCTCCTACCTGGTGTTACTAAAACTCATCCAAGTGAAGAACAGAAGACTCAGTCTGGTGGAGGTAATTTATATATATATATATATATATATATATATATATATATATATATATATATGTTTTCTAATGATCAATTTAAATATAAAATTATTTCATTGTATATTGTTTGTTGGACAACAAAATATTTTCTGTATGGAACTTTACTAGAATGTGCTAATCTAACTTCAATTAAACTTTATCAGGATATATCCAAATGTATTTTTAGTTTGTCTCGTAATATCATCAAAAGACAAAAAGTCTACCCACCACTAACAACTTTATTTAGTTATCTTTTCTAGGTTTCCTGTTACTGTCAGTGTTATGGATCGTGAGCTCATGAACGGATTTTTAGATTGTTAACATGAAAAAAAAGAATTTCGATCTATAGATGGTACGCAAAGACACTATGTAACCGAATGATGTCTGCTCACAAGAACGAATTAATGACTTAATAACTTGATAATAAAGACAAAACCACTAACCAGGAGAATAAGTTTATTTAATGAAACCACATGATTATATAGAAAATACCAACATAAAATAAACATGATAGTGCCATAGGCTGTTGGAGGAACTAAGTTTCTAGGTCACTCATTCTCCAATCATTTAAGACTTATTTATTAACCATAAAACTGGACAATGTTTGTTATTATCAGTTTATTGAGATGGCATAAGCAGCAACTGCGATTAAATGTGTCAACAAGACCTTTTAAATTGAAACAAAAAATGTCATAATAGAAGAGCAACGAACCAAAAGCGAAAAAATGGGAAACATTCTTTGAAGGCTTTACTGGACGAAAATAGTAATCCAAATTTATTTAGAGTAACAAATTGTTTTCAGGATTCAACAATCCTCAGCAACTAGTGAATCACTCCAAAAAAAGAATGTGCTAGTCCGTTTTTATGTAAAAGCCATTTACATCGTCCTCCGGTTCGTACTAAACCATGATGTCGTCTTAGATAAATTCTCTTATATCGCTAATGGTAGTTGTTTATTTGGTCTTACTTGCCTTACTCTTTAATTAACATTGCTGTTTAACTGCTAAACTAACTAGTTCTTATTTATTTTGTCTATTTTATTTTCTAGCATCTTCATCTGCTGCTGACGTGTTGGCAGATATTTTTGGAGGAATCAAAATGTCTGACCTTTCTGGTGATGCTAGCTCCTTTGTGCCACCTGCAACTGTTTTACTGGAAGCTGCTCGTGGTAAAGGTCTCGAAATTCGTGGTACATTTTCTCGTAAGACAGCTACCGCACAAGTTTTTATGGAGCTAACATTGACCAATAATGCACTAACTCCCATGTCTGGATTCGCTATACAATTTAATAAAAATAGCTTCGGCTTAGTTCCAGCCCAAGCACTAAATGTCCCTACTCCTTTGATGCCTCGTCAATCTGTTAATGTATCCCTTCCGTTAGCAACTACTGGTCCTGTAATGAAGATGGTTCCACTTATGAATCTACAGGTGGTTTTTCTCACATTTTCTAAAATCAATTTATTACAACGATCTCATTATTTTATAAGGTAGAAATACTTGCAATCAAATAAATTAATAAGTCTTGTAGATAGTTGACGAACTACTTATTTTTATGATTGTATAACTAGGTAGATTTTTCCTTCGTTGTTTACAACCTTTGTTTATACGTCCACCTTTCAAGTAACAAAAACATGGACTCCTTTTTCTACAAAGTCCATTCTTTGTTGCGCCGTAAAATTGATGTGCCTATGACACTCATCTGGATCATTCTCTGGGCCTCAAAACAAACATGTATTCTTCCCGTTGGTAAAATAGTTCTTACTTGTAACGTATTGTCGTGCTTTAGTAACGGAAAGTTTATTTAACCACGGAGTTGATTGTACTACTGACAAACCTACTCAGTGATTATGTCTGAGAGCTTGTGTTCTTGTTCTTCACTCATAATTGCACTAAGTGTAACCCACTTTCGTTTTAATTTAGTGGGTAATTGTTTAACCACAAGCTCTAATATGGACATAAAATTTAATTCAGATTCGATATTCAACTATATTAGTGTACTTATATATAATTGGATTGCCTAGAAATATGATGAAGTCTCTTGAATAATCTCTTACCTTTTGACCATCACCCTCCATAGTTTCAAACACTACAAGCCACCACTGATAATCTTCCGAGTCGTTTAAATATATGTCTAGCTTCTATGTGAACAGATGAGGTAGGCGAAAATTTTCAACACTGAATCTTGTACATGGCCTCATTTGAAAAGTCAGTCTGTTCCGATAACATTTCTAATTCCTTCACAAAACTGGAGCAATCTACCAAATCCAGATTTAGACGAAATTTAGAAAGCAGTTAATGGAACTTGGAGATCAATTATGACTATCACAGTTGGTAGAGTAATTCTGAAATTGGAGAATCGCAGACAGTAACTAACTTCTACCGAAGACCAAAACTAGAACGAGTGAGTAATGAAACAGGACGCCTGTTTATTTGATAGGAACTATTAATTCAAATAGCTGGTACAGTATAATTTACTTACCAACAACGTTTACTACAATGTCTGGAGGACTATGATAGTAGTAATTAAATAATTATTGAATTGAATATTTTCTTCCACTCTATTTTGTATTTCATGTACTAAAATTATTTTATGCCTTACTGTACTTGTACGCATTTAGATTCTGATAACAGGAAATTGATAAAAACATTGTGTTAGATTCTATATTGCAGAATTAAAGTATGCTAACGTCTTAAAGCGATCCTACCTGCTTCGGTTTGGGCACTCGGGCAGTATCACAGCCCTCACACATATCAAATGAGATTTGTGTGGCGCATATGTATTTGGTGCCTCCTTGTACCAATATCTATGTGTTAAAATAAAAAATAAATAATCCTATGAGTGACCTTCAGCTTAACTAATCAGGAGTTAGACAGCCACTCATATAAAAGCTATTCCTTAATAGTTCAAGGTTATTAAAAACGATTGCCATCCATGTCATCATTCAAATTAACTCAAATCCGAGATTTATTTAGAAACATGGTTTCCAGTGGCAGGTTGTCCGTAAGTGCGTCTTAAAATCACGCTTCAGTTCAACAATCTCCATTCTGAGTGGTCATTTCTGTTTGTTTCAAAGCCGTCAGTATGGTTTAGTTCTATGGTGTTCTATATGTAATTATAATTAAACGGCTCCAAAGAAACTAGATAAATAACTATTTCATAATAGGTTATGACCACGTTGTGATAAAAAAAAGAGTGCAATACTGTGAATTATTTGTTTTTTGTGAGATGTAATTTTAACCAAAAATCAATCATTACTTGTTGTCTACAGTGATTATATTAATTAATCAGTTACCGTCCCTTTTTTCTAACCTATGTTTGGTCAGAATTCATCAAAATCTGTATGCTAAGAGTGTAAAGAAACATTTGTAAAAACTAAAACGTTGACAAGTATCATCTTAGGAATTCGGGTTTTGAAGTAGAAACCGCACTAGCACAAGTTAGAACAGAATATTTTTTGGTAATAAAAATACCAAGTCCTATTTCTTGAATTATTTAAAAGCTAGTAAAGATTTCATGCCATGTGGTTTTTGTCTGGAATACAACAGAATAAAGTCCAGAATACTTTAAAACATTTAGTATGAAGATTACAGTTGTTAGTATATATATAACCTTTTTCAGTGCTTTAGCAACACGCAAACGCCACGGTTTAGTTCAATTGTTTTTAATACATCCAAAATATTCAATTTCGTGCTGTCATTACTTTTGATTTCTTCGATTCTCCCCTCACTGTGTTGGTTCGATGCACATCTGCACCTTATCTTACATTGTTTATGACTGGCTACATAATTTCTAATTACTATGTTACACTTTTCATGATATATTATATTTTTGCGATCACTAGTAGTGTTTCTGTTTTGTTTAAACAAGTGTTAGCTAATTGTAAATTTCATGCTTGCTCGTGTTTTCTACTTCTTATTTTTTAATAGATTGCTGTCAAGAATAATATTGACGTATTTTACTTTGCTACGTTGGTACCAATGCATATTTTGTTTGTCGAAGATGGAGAAATGGATAAACGAGTTTTTCTAGCTACTTGGAAAGATATACCTAGTCAAAATGAACAACAGTTTACTTTGAGTCCAAAAAATCTCACTGCTGGTAAGTCTTAATTATTTCTACTAACTTGCTTTGATCATACTATTTACTATTATGTTTATTATTTTTTCCCATCATTTTACAAGAATTGCATTGTGCAATCAATAAATATTTACCTAAAAGTGCTTCTTTTTAATCCCAGTGTTAATTTTACTTTCCAGCATTTTACTGGTAATTATTTGTATAACAAAATGTTTAACAAGTATATATCGCTTTTGAAAGCTCGGTAGTGCTTTCTTGCTTTGAAAATGATTAGGCATTTAAACGAACATTTATGTTGATATTAAATGTGTGTACGAAATCCATCCACATTCTGTCCAAAAAAAACTAAGAAACATTTAAAACGATTCATTTAAACAGTTGAAGTCATAACTCGATCTAAGCTGGAAGAACTGAACGGCCGTTTCATCCTAGTATGAGAATTCTCAGCAGTGTGTATTCACGATGCCTCACACGGGATCAAACTTGAAAAAAGTATATGTTAAACAACCCAAGTGTATTCATGCTTTTTAACTATATTCTGAAAAATCTTGTCAATAAACCTCATACAAACATTATACTCATAACTCAAGTGGTGTTAAAAGTATGGAGGTAGTTGTCGTTCCCAGGATCTTCACACAGTAGAATGGTACTTTTTGAAGAGGACGGACGTGAAAAGAAAACTGGGTTAAGAGGGATCTTGATGACTCTAACATGTGACCGGAGTGTCTATGGGACAACTGCCTGAGGCTGGTTACACACAGCTTTTTTGTGAACAATGTTTGATGTTTTAGCTTTATATTTTAAAGCCTACCACCAGCGGCGAAAATCCATAGTGTAAAATGAAGTCGAGTGTTTTTAGAGTCAATTTTTCTTAACCTCGTTCCGTTTTAGCAAGGCGGACCTCACAAACCTGTACTTGCTCACTGAGTTACATAAGCATAAGGAGGTTAGTGTTACTTCTTTGGTTTCTGTTAACCAATCTTCACTCTACAACAATTCATATGTGAATATTTTTAAACTAAAAAGATACTATTTAAATTTCCTTAAATGCTTTTTTATATACATATAAATTTTGCATATCTATTCTAGATGCTTGCAGCAGTAAATTACGTCAAAACAATGTATTCACTATTGCTAAACGTAATTTGGATGGTCAAGATATGCTTTACCAATCTATGAAGCTTACAAATGGTATTTGGGTATTAGCCGAATTAAAAATTCAACCGGACAATCCGTCGTTTATTGTAAGATTAATTAAATAATTACTGTATGGTATTATTAATATCTATCTGTTTTACTATTTTAGTTAAATTTATTAATGAATAATGAATTATCGATGAAAACGCGAAACATGAATTATCCTTTAAGCATATTTGAATTGTGACTATCAATGGAATATAGAATGCGCCATTTATCAATTTACCTACATCCCTAGTGCTGTTTATTCATCAAGCTGCTGTGCCCATGTATCAACTAACAGACATAAACGCATTTGTAGTTTCGTATTGTGTTGATATTCAGAAATCCAATTGATCGGTCTACGGATTTCAATTAAAAAGAAATTATCGGTATGGGGTTGCGGAGATTATTATGGTTTTAATTGAGATCATGAGTCGATCAACGTTAGACCACCACTGAAAACCTGGAAGCACTGGAAATCCGTTTCGTCCCATTGTAGGACTCCCCAGCAGTGCGCATTCACGATTCCGCTCGTGGGATTCGAATCCAGGGCATTCGGCCTTGCGCGCGAACGCTTAACCTCTAGACCAATAAACCGGCATCCAACGGTGTTGGTGTCTAACCTTAACAAATCCACGAAATTGCGCGACTATCTTCCACTGTGTTGTTTATTTATTTATTTAACACAGAAATTGGTACAAGGAGGGACCAAATACATATGCGCCACACGAATCTCAATTGATTTGTGTGAGGGCTGTGATACTGACCGGGTGCCCAAACCGAAGCAGGTGGTTTTCTTAGGGGGCCACACCCCGAGCCTTTGACCTGAACGTCTGACCCACAAGGCAGTGGAGCATCGTAAGGAGATGCAGTCCCATGGTAGCCGGTGACCAACGATTGGTTCATACGCCATTTGTTCCCGCATGATAGTGGAGCCCATGTGCACCATTGGTTTGAGATCCGGTTAAAGCTCCGGACGTTCGCTTTTCGTCCTCTCATTTTCGTAAACAACACCCCTGCCATGAGAAGGCAGTGAGTAGGACTTCTCTGGAAGAGGCTATATACGCGTGTCCATGTGAGAGGATTTCGAGAGGGAGAGCGGACTCTCCCCACTCTCGGCCATACCAGGGCATTTGGGGACTCCACTGTGCTGAGGTAGATACCTGCCTCTACTTGACAAGGATTAGCTCTACTGGTCACGACTGCCAATCCCCCGAGCGGGACCGTGGGTGCGCACTTCCCCAAATAGGACGAAATAGCTGTTCTGTGCTTCCAGGTTTTCAATGGTGGTCAAACATCAGTCGGTTCATGATCCCAAAAAAAGGATCTCTTAGATGCATTTACGGATTCGCTTTCAATTTCAGCCAGACTGATCATAAGCGACAAACTCCAAAAGATGAGAAATTACCCATATGCAGGTTATAAATGATGTTCGTTTGCGAATCATTTCCTCGGAACGATCTTACTGAGAATCTATTTCAGACTATACATATTTTTACCACAACGGTACTCGTCAATTCATTAAAACATTCTGTTTTAATCCACTACACCAAAGGTATTTCACTACAGGTTCACCTAATGTTACCATCACGATATAGATAGATAGATCGTAGACAATATTCATGTTCCAAAAACAACACTTTTGCATACAGTTTCATTGAATCATTATTTCATCCCACCCCTCATTACGTAGTTGAAATTCTACTCCCGACTGTTGCTGCTACCATGACGTGATGGTCGGGCTTGCCTATCGTAATGAACCGATCGGGCTATACTGGCTGGAACAATCGTTCCTCAAGGTCATACCATGCCAGACAGGTCGGTTGAAGTGCGGTAAGACTGGTAGGAGGTCACTTCCCGAAAATTCACACGACGATAACGTTATTTCCAGCGGTAGGTCTATGATGAAATTGAACAAAAATCAGATAGTGGACAACACTGTCGGTCACCACTTGAGGTTTCAAATTCAGATGATAGTCCGAATCGACTGATAGTGTTCGAGCAAAGAGTCTTGACAAAGTTTATGTACTACTCTTTGAGTTGTCCTCTTGAAAAATTTCGTAGGATTATAATCCACTTCTTTGGAAATAAAACACTAACCTGTCATTTCGCAAATTATAGTTGATTTTCAAGTATTAATCTATCCAGTCAATTGTATTGTACAACTGACTGGTCACTACGATAGTGACAGTGATATGGAGGATTCATCTAGGGCAATTGGAAAACCCTAATTCCAAACCAATGGTACACATTGGCTCTAGGATCCTGAGGGAACCTATTGTCATTAATAACTGCTACTGGCCTCATTGTTATTGTTTGGCGCATATCTATTTGGTGCCCTATTTTACTAATGTTTGTGTTCAAATAATAATAATAAAGCAGTGATTTACTTAGTCCACAAAAGTGGTAGGTCTAAGTCCATTGATAAAGTTTCTAATATGTCGTGGAACATCACATTCAATTATCATTGATTATTGTAATTGAATTAATTGTATATGAACACTTTTATCTGTGATTCTACAAAATACTCGTTATTTTAATTAATTATCCCTACTCATTCTTTTTCCTCGTTTATTCTTCCAGTTATCTTTAAAATCACGTACAATGGATGTACATCCTGGTGTTCAATTGGCGTTCGACGAAATTTTAAATCATTGATTATAATTTATTCTCTTATAATTATTTACTACAACTAATGATTAGCTTGATCATTTCTTTTCTCTACTGATAATAATATTACTACTAGGTACTACTAATTTCAATCGTTAACTGTGGTGTGTTCCTTTAAATGTGGTGTACACACTAATTTAAGTTCGTTTTGTTTTAGCATTCAGGATTTAAAAAGAAAGTACCTGTGGCTTTATTGTGTGTGTGTGTGTTGTTATTTCAGTTTACCAATTGTTGTTGATTACTTTTATTTATTCATTTCATTCCATTTATCTTTTGCATAGCTATATCCATACTTACTATGTGATTCCAACTCGATTATCATATCACAATTGTTGTGTACCGTTTATCATTCACTGCTCATATTCAAATTGATTTAAATAAATACGTTTAAGTTGTAGTAATTGTTGTTATTCATGGACAGCACCACATCATTTTTTATCATGCTATATTGGTGATACTCTGTTGATTTCGACCATCAGATTGTAGTCAGAGAGTTACAGGTTCTTCGATATTGCTCCATTTCCTTGGAGTTTGTTATGACTACCATTATCTGTCAAGTATTAAAGTGCTGCATATGGTTCTCAGTATACAAGTTTGTACTTTGATTATCTATTCACGTTACTGTTTTTTGACTCAGAAAACTAGGTAACTTTTGAAGGTGTTTTGTTCTTTAATCTGGATAGTTTAGTCATGAAGCTTTCGTTATCTCTCTAGGAAATATCATCAGTAATCACTGGGTGGTACTTCGTGAATACTTTCATTAGAAATGTATACTATGGGACATCAGTGAAGATGTTCTTATCTTATCATAATAAATAATTATCTCTCGGCTTTCCTATGACTGTTAAATGTAAACGACATCTGCCCTCATACCCGTAACAGCACACGAGACCAAGTTGGTCACATTCAAATCCTTCCTACACCTCTTAATGACTCTCTTATCTCCACGACCAACCCTTCTCGCGTCCCTTAATCACCTCACCCCGCTAGTGCAAACGATTCGAGTACGCGGAACGTTATTCCTGGTCTCCTGAAACCACGTCGTAAACTACACGTAGGAGCTTTCAACGTCCGAACACCGTGCCAAATAGGACAACAGGCTTCCTTAGCTAAAACTTTAGAATCTCGCTCCATCGATGTATGCTGCGTCTCCGAAACGCGCACACAGGATCCTAGTAGTGTCATTCATTTGAACGCACCATGTCAAAGTATCGAACCAACTCGTTTTACGCTTCATGTATCTGGAAGCCCTGATGCTGCTTCCCGTGGCCTCGCTGGCGTAGGTATAGCATTGAGTCCTAGGGCAGAACTAGCTCTCTTAGACTGGATCCCAGTAGACAGTCGTTTGTGCGCTGTCCGACTAAACGGAACAGTGAGAAATTGGAAAGATAGGGACATTCATCGTCTCTGCCTACTCTCCCACTAACTGCAGCTCAGATGATGTAAAAGATGAGTTTTACAGAAAGCTTTCCGACCTTCTCCGAAAAGCTAGGCGTTCAGATGTAGTAATAGTGGCTGGGGACTTTAATGCTCAAGTAGGTAAACTAAGCGAAAGGGAAAGACACCTGGGTGGATCTTATGGTGTCGCGGCTCAAAGAACAGATAACGGCGACCGTCTGTTGCAGCTATGCTCAGATAACCGCTTGTTTCTTGCAAACACTAACTTTAAGCATAAGGAAAAACATCTTTTGACATGGCGACCCCTAATTCGTCCCAACGTTGGACCCAAATAGATCACGTCGCTATCGTAATCCCATCTGACTGGTCTCAATCACTGACTGTGCCAGTCTATAAGAAAGGACAAAAGTCTTCTTGTGACAATCACAGAGGAATTAGTTTGGCTAATATAGTGTCTAAAATATTAGCTCCAATAATACTTCGACGCCTAACCAGAGCTCGTGAAGTGCAGACTAGAGAAAACCAGGCTGGTTTCCGACCTGGACGTGGTTGTATAGACCATATATTCACACTACGTCAGGTCCTAGAACATAGACACACATTCAGGCGCCCCAAAATAGTAGTATTTCTCAACCTGAAGGCGGCATTCGACTGTTGATCGTGAGGTTCTATGGCAGAGTTTGTCACTGAAAGGAGTACCAAAGAAGTACACTAACCTTATAAAGGCTCTCTCCATTCTTGTTTAACTTTGTCGTTGACGTGCTTTTAGAAATAACACTTCCCACATCTGACTTTCCAGGAGTTGAACTTCTACCGGAAGACCCACTTGTTGACTTAGAGTATGCCGATGACATAGTTCTATTTAGTGAAGAGACTGACAAAATGCAGAGTCTACTGACCACTCTAAGCAACAATGCAGGCATGTTCGGAATGCGATTTTCTCCCTCGAAATGCAAAATGTTGCTTAAGGATCGGTTACATCGACACCCGAACTGGTGATAGGGAGTGAAGTAGTTGAGTGTGTCGACCGCTTCACTTATCTTGGGAGTCTAGTCAGCCCTTGTGGTCTGGTGTGTGACGAAATCTCAGCACGGATACAGAAGGCTCGACTAGCTTTTACCAACTTGCGTCATTTGTGGCGTAGGCGAGATATCCGTCTATCAACCTAATAACGGGTTTACTGCGCAGCAGTTCGTTCCGTCCTATTTTATGGCAGTGAAACATGACCGGTAAGAGTAGAGGATATTCGTAGGTTACTAGTGTTCGATCACAGCTGCCTTCGAAACATTGCTCGTATATCCTGGGACCACCGAGTAAGTAATGCAGTTGTTAGGAAACGGGTACCAGGTAAGGATAGCGAATTGATTGACGAAGTAGTGAAACTTAATCAGTTGAGATGGCTGGGACATGTGTCGCTCATGCCAGACCACCGACTGCTACGACGTGCGATGTTTTATGGTGTAGGAATAGGTTGGAAGAAAGCTAGGGGCGGTCAGACCAAAACATGGCACAAATTCATGAAGTCACTGACAAGTGGACTGAGCCATGTTGGTAGATGTAGACTACTTGGTTGGGGACCGCGAGATGATAGCAACCGATGGTTAGAGACCTTGAATGACGTGGCTCGAAATCGTTTGCGATGGCGCAGGTGCATCCACTCTTTGTGTTCTCTCAAACTATGATCTGAATTCTTCATGTCCTTTATTTTCTTTCCAAATCTATTCCACTGGATAATACTCCTTAAATAACATCATCAAACCATAATGTTCCCTATCACTACTTATACTTTCACTACCTCTACCACTACGGGATTTGAGTCGATAACTGAATCTCTGTGCTAATGTGGTATGGCAACTCGAACTGATGTACGTACGTACGAAGCCCCACGTTGTTACTGACTGACTGAAGCTGTAACTTCATTATATGCCACTGAACATTGTCATCTCGTTAGCTCATTTGTACCGATTAAGCTAAGCGCATTTAAGTGACATGGCAGTGTGTGGTTGTTGTTAATAATAGGGAGTTGTCCGAAGTTTTCCTTGTAGCTAAGTGACTTGTGAATGCTCACTTCAACTATATGTATAAATATGCATATATATTGAAACAAACATATCTTCGTTTAATTAACCTAGGATATTTTAAACCGTGTGAATATGTTTGTTTCCCGACAGATTGTATGTGCAAATTGAATAAGTTAGTTTTCATTGTATGACTGATCTACTATCAAGTATAGTAAAGGAAATCTGGTACCATGTCACTTAGAGTTATGTTTACTTCAAAATTAGCGTTGGACATTTAGTCATGATCTATCTTCCAACTTACTAGTAAAGCTAAATTCTCGATACAAACTGGAGGAAAAGATTTGTTCTTATTGCTTTGCATGAGTCAGAACGTTAAGTGATCTATCTTCTTTTTGAGGGCTGTAGTATTTATCGGTACTTCGTCTATCAACCGATTATGTGGCTAGGGTTTCCTGTAGTATAAATACAAAATGCCGGAAGAAATTCCTTTGTGTATACTTGAATTTGACAACTTTTAGTCTCATCATGTTAACTCGAGAGAAATAATCTTACCTTTTGTTCACTTTCTTCCTTAGACATGGTGAAATCATCAGCTTTGTGAAAAGTATTTATTAGCTGTTTACTATGTGGAACGTGCAGCCAACATTTATAGGAGCACAAAGTGTCTAATGATATCTTATCAGCTCTCCTTAGTTCGTCGAAATCATACTGGTTAACAATAATTTTAGTAAAAATGCTGGTTACTCTGAAACTAGTGTCTCTGTGACTTGCAAAGTCAAAAATCCTATTCGCCACTGGGCTCCTTGGGTAAGTGTACAAGCAATCAATAACTCAAAGACGTATTGTGTAACTCCGTTGATATATCACTTGGTGAATTATTGTGTATATAGTTGGAAAGGCCTCCATAAAATTGCTTAAATAAATAATCGCGCTATGACTGTTGACCAGCTTCAAATTGGATCTCCTGAAGTTTTAGTAAAAAAACATAAGCTGTAGTGCCAAACAAATAGAATGTCAATCAAATAACTAACTGGTGACATTGAGTTCGAATCATAAATTAATTGGAGTTCAGAATGTGAATTATTGAATTCTGACTTCATCACACATGTATAGCGCTCCTCAGAAAACCTGAAGGTTATGGGTTCGATCAGATGGATATACATTGCTGTGTAATGGTTTCAAACCAGAACTAAAAGAGCCATTAAATACTTCCTGGTTCTCGATGGTTCTGCTAACGTTAACTGACAATTAAGATCACTCTCCATAAATCATTGCAGTTTTCAAATATTTACTCCTATAAAGAGTTCATCATTTAACTTATGATTCAACCCCTGTATATTTCTATCCAAATAAATAAGTTAACACAATATAAAACGATAATCGAAATATTTATTTTTTTGTTCCAATAAAATTCCCTGATAAAGATTACTTGATTAAAGTAGCAGAATACGAGTTAATTTTAAACATCAGGATAGAAGAGAAAATTGGCTAAACCAAACAAAAGTTATATATATATATATATATATATATATATATATATATATATATATATATATATATATATATATATATATATATATATATATATATATATTGAATAACGATAATAATAGTAGTATAAACCCAGTATGTATAGATTAAATGATGCATATGAAGTAATAACAGGATATACTTTAAATAACACGCATCTTTATGGTAATATAGTTAACTATATCCATTTGTATGTGGATCCTCATGATTCACCATAGAAAAAGAAAAAAAAAAGGAAAATTAAGTTGAAACACTACTTTACTTCATCAAAATAAAATATTCACTTTACTGTTTATTGAATAAGTATAAAAGCTGCCATTTTTTTCTTACATCTAAATTATACACCACACCGGGCTTTCACATTTTGTTCTCTTTTAGCACAGAAAAAAGAAATAATGAATATATATTTGAAAAGCATATTACTTATTTTATAAACCTGAGATTTGAATTGCACACAATAATATTGATTATTCAATGTTTCATCATGGATTTATATTCAGTGTTAAGTTCCTTATATATATTATGTATATATTATGATGTAACTATTGGAAATGATCTCTGATTCAAATTTTGTAATTCATTTAATTGAAATAATTGAATATATAGATCAGAAAATGGCAAATAATTATTTTCATACTTAAGTACTTTTAATATTTCTTGATGTTCTTTATTCATTCTATCTAAATTATGTTTAATAGACATTATTTTATAGAAACGTTTCTCTGAATTGAACTGATCTAAAAGAGATGAAAATGAAACAAATGAAAATTTCTTTATGGAGAATATATCTATGTAATGAGAAACAATCAAAATTAATTCATACTCATTTTTTGATTATTATTGTCTTTTGACATTCATATCTTGGTCGTTGGTGCTACCTTGACATATGAGTCGGGGTTCTAATTAAGTTTGTTGCATTTGATCCTACTATGTAACCCCCGAATTCCCTGGTACAGCCGAGGGTGGGGAGAGTCAGCTCTCCCTCTCCAAATGATTTCACATGACCACGCGTATACAACCACTGCCAGGGAAGTCTTACTCACTACTTTCTCGTGACGGGGTGTTGTTTATCAAACCGAGAGGACGAAAAGCCAATGTTCGGCGTTTTAACCGGGTTGGTGGATATAGAGGGTTCACCTAGGGAAGTTGGAAAACCCTGATTCCAAACCAATGGTGCACATGAGCTCCAGGATCCTGAGGGAACAAATAGCGTATGAACCAATTATTGGTCACCGGCTACCATGGGACTGCATGTCCTGACGTTGCTGCACTGCTTTGTTGATTGGACCTTCAGGTCAAAGGCCCGGGGTGTGGGTCCCTAAGGACTAACCTGCTTTGGTCTGGGCACTCATGTAGTATCATAACCCGCATATGATGTATGGCGCATATGTATTCGGTGCCTCTTTGTACCAATATTTATGTGTTTAAATATATAATAATCCTACTATATTAGATGATAGTTATATCCATAACTAACCAATCAAATCGCTGCTTGAACGCCTATCACGTCAATCTGGTCTGGTGTTTCTGTAGACTATCCCTGTTGCATGTAACCTGCCAATTGAAGGACATCATTACTCTATCATATTAGTGTGACTGCATCTCATTTCCAGATAAAGTTTAAAGCCAATTTGTCCTTGTTCTGACTATATTTTTCACATTAACTCTGAATCGTCAGTATCGCGTTTACAGTTGTGATAGAATATCTGTAGGACAAATTAAATCCTACACGAGACACGTCGATTACAGGGCAGTAAGACTAAAAGCAATAAAATTAAGGTCCAAAGGTGAAATCGCACTGATGTCAGTAACGTGTATCCTGCAGGAAATCAGTATCTGCAGTGATGCTGACTTCTTACAATCGAAGAGAGGGCTGAGAACAGTCTGTCTTAAACCAGTACATCTCAACTTGCCCCACAAGTTCTCACCCTAGTGGTAATGTCTGAAAAACTACTCAAAAAATCATATGTGTGATCAGCCTGTCCCTGAGCTCTGTGGTCACTCTCCCAGGTAGTTAGGACCATTCTTAATCCAGTTTCCTTTTCACTTCTTTCACCATTCCATAGTGTAGGGAATGTGGGAAGTTATAACTACCTACATACCTCTGAGAATCCTCAAGACCACCTGAACATTCGTGTGACTGAAATATGTAGTTTGATTTTGTTGGTAATTTACTTTGTCCAGTCATCCGAGTTAAACGTTTATTCGCGAGGTACGTTTGTTGTTATGATTGATTTTCAATGAAATTTCTAGCTTAACATTGAGATGACCAAATCAACAATTCACTTATGTAGCTGACTTCCATACACCAAATAAATAGATTTTAAAAGATACAACTTATATTCAACTAGAGAAGTAAAACTGTCCGTTATATACAAAATATTTAACCAAGATAATGTAACAATTAGTTACTTCCCATATAACAAGCAACTGATCTGTGGTAAAAATAAAAATTTATAAACGACCATAACAAAATATGAATTTATTTCCTATATATTAAGTTTAATTGATTTTCTATCATTCAAAGGTACACAGCTAATTCATTATTTTTGTCATGATTACAATATAATAAGAACGAAATGGTGGGCATTAATTTGTTTTTAAAAAAAAACGTCACATATTCATGTCATACTTGTCTAAATCAGTAAACATTTGTTAAATGTTCCCACTGGACAAACTCAATTAATATTGAAATAAATCATTTTCCATTATTATAAATAAATTAATATATTTGTAATATCACAATGGGTAGAAAAATTAAATTTTCCTACGTTAGGTTCTGGGTTCGAATCTCGTGAGGGGGTTCATGGATGCGCACCTCTGAGGAGTCCCATACTATTCTCTGAAGAAGTGACCTATACTGAGTCACGAAACGTCAGAAAACTTTTTTTTACTCATTGGGTTATTACAAATATATTAATTAATTTATTTATAACAATCTACTCAATGCTCAATTTAATCGAAATTATCAAGTCAAACCTTGGTAATAATACCTACAAACTCATTTTCCATTGTGTAATCTAATTCTATACAAACAGGCATTAACAATAAAGCGATCTAAGTTTGGACCAGAGTGCCAGGCGAAACGTTGGGTTTACTTCGAATTCTTTCGCTGAGATTTTACAAATACGTTCTTCCTCTTTAATGTCTTACATCAACTCAGCGCCCAAATACTGTGAAACACTAACAATGTTCAATTTTCAGTTATTTTTTGTTTATTCATTACCCTTATCTCCTCTTATCCTCCATTTCTAGTCTAGTTGACCTTTTATTTTTATACAAAAATGTTCTTAAAAAGTGTAGGATATGTGATCAGATTGTTTGAAATGTATTGCTCTAATACATCATCATATAGTTCTGATAATCTTCGTTTTCTTACTATACTATAGAAATTTATCAGAGACTAATTGCTTTTAAAGTGTTATTGAAGTTTAACTTCAAAGATGCTAATTTTATGAAAAGTTTGTGTTGTGTCCCGATAAGCATAATGAATGGTAACTTTTGGAATCCATTTATGGAACAATACTATGCGTATATTGTTATCGTATAATTGTTCAATAACTAATCCATACATATTCATGTCCCTCTTATTATGAGCTTTATTTTGACCTGTGAACTATTATTCTACGATTTACCATTCTTGAATTATGCCCGGTCTATTAATTGCTACCTCCCACACTCACAGCCACTTTTGGCTAAATCTCGTACAAATGTTGTTTCCTATTTTATGGTACGATGTAGCCTGTCTGGTTGGTATATGAACCCAGTATGTTTAAAATACATGATTCATATTGCAGAGGCTGAGATTGGTGTTCTGGACTTAACTGGCTGGGTTAGGCGGAAAGCAGGACCAATAAGTACTCTACACTGCTTGCACGGGTTTTATGCGTCATTGGTCCGATTGATAATTCACTGCTCTCTAATTGGCGGTATCATTACGTTATACATTAGCAGGGCACTCATGCCATAAGTTATAACAGTTTGAGATCCTAAATTCTTAGGAATAATAAATAATGCTGTATTTTTATTACTAAAAAAGAAACCTACAAAATACCCAAATATTCTTACTTGTTTCATATTCTTTTAATAATTGAAGAATTGTTTGATAAGTGTCATTTACTTTTATTGGTTCATTCAAACATTTTCCATCTGTAAAATTAAAGTAGTGTAGATGAAATACCAAAAAAATGCATTACAAACCAAAACCAGTGAGAATATCTCTTATTACGAAACGGCAAGACTAATTTATGGACAAACCAATCAAGTATATGATAACAGATTTCGGGTTTTGGCGAGAAATTCATTAATTCGACATTATAGCTCATGTCAATTCATGATGAAAACTCAAAATCTAATTTCTAACCTTAATCATCAACTGAATATCGTAAATCTAATTCCTCACACATGCTTATAACCCTCATTTGGTCCTGATTATTAGGTGAACACTCTCAAGGTACGTCTACGTCTGGCGTCGCTCAAAGGTCGTCCATAAATTCATGAATTTTTGAATATATATTTTGTCCTATTCAACGAAATATTTTAAAAATTCCTACATCTTTCTTGGAGCAACGTCATAGTGATGTATTCAATGTGTTTGGTCAAGCTGGAAACCTTCCCTGCTTATTTCAGTTTGACCAATCGGGAAGCAAAATTATCCCTTACATAAAATTTGGAAGGATGTTTCATGTGGGTCAGATAATTGCATTTGGACGTTTGACGATTGCTACCAAGTGATCAATCTGTCCAAACCTTACAGTCCTACAATATTAAGGTCAGTTGCCGTCTGAATACCTCATGTTTGAATCATATGGGGTGCATCAACTTGCTTAAGATTACAGATAATGCAAGGTGAAGAGTATTAGCTCATAAAATGGAAAGCCCAAACCCAAAACTTCATATTGATTGACCATTCAACGTCATTAAAGTACACCTCAGTGTCAAGTTACTTAGCCTAACACCTTGATATTTTGATTTGATCGATAGAATTTGACCATTACTTAGGACCATAATAAACTTGTCAGCAACGATTACCAAATAATCAATTAATGCAAATATTCAATAGTCACTAGATTAAGTTGAAGTTTTGTGAGGGTTGTTTTAATTTTTAGGTTGTACTCCTTAAAGACTTATCTCAACTAGGGTACCATTAAGATCAAGGAGTAATGAATAACTGTTTTGTACATATTTTGTACTACTCAGTGACCTACATTAAAATATTCCTGAAGCTTTTATTGACAAGTTGTGACCAGTAGAGTTAAGACGTATTGAGAATGAAACTGTCATCACAAATGGATTATTATCTAACTGTATCGCAAATTGATTATAGTTACAATTGTATAATTGGACATTCATAGAATAGTCCTAAATGTTAAATGTTTCCCATGAAACCTGAAATTTTTTAATTACATTCCTAGTGGAAACGTGGATAGATACTGTTGAAAAGTTTCATACTAGAACCAACACAGCTATCCATTATTCCATAATTTTCATTGGTACCCCAAATAAAATAAATTCATAATGAACAAAACTTGAGAAATTACTAGATTTGTTAATCTGAACATAATATTTAAGAAATAATGATAACTAATCAATAGTTTCATCAATAACTAACCTCCATGAAATAATTCAACACAGCATAATAAACCAATTTCTATTTCATTTAAATTTAATGATTTCAATAATTTATTTGTCAAATTAATTTGTTCAAATAGTATTTTACACACATAGAATTGATTTATCAAATTTGTTTGACATTGTATATTGAAATAAAAATATTCTTTTGTTTTATTATTACTGAAATCTTGTGATAATTGAATTAAAATAATTGGATAGATACTTTGTTGAATTAAAATTTTCATATCAAACTTTGAAAGTTCTTGAAAACTAGGAATAGATTGGGCAAATTGAATGATTTCATAAATATGACTTTCAAAATATTTCATGAAATTATGCCACAAAATTTCTGGATTTTGTTTAGTCTCATTTAAGAAGTGTAAATTTTCAGGTAACTTAAATAAAAGAAAATATACGTGTTATTTCTTATGGTATTATGATTTAAAAATTTAACTGACCAATCAGAAAACCATAGAAAAAGAAGTTATTGAATATATATGTTTTCAATGGTTCTCTCTCTATTCGATATATCAGTTCATGACGAAAATTAACTTTCTAGTTAATCTGTCTCAATAAACAATAGTTACTTGTTCGTCAGTGAGTTTCCCAAATTTGTAATGTGAAAAAACCGTGATTTTAAGTATTTATCACTCATAGTATATGACAGAACAGTTGATCCATTATATACAGTGGCTATTGACGCCAATGAATAACTTAAATAAATAATTAATTGCTATGAACTTTTGTTGTTTAATTTTTTTTCCTCGAAATGTTTGGATTCATCAATTAAACTGTCTTTTGGCGGAAGACTACAAATCTGTTGAAATTTCGGCATGTTATCATTTTTAACTAACTGACTCACTTTTTGGAATTACTGTTGTTTGTTTTCACATTAATGTCTGTTTGCATCTGTTCATGTACTAACCACTATCTTTCACACTTATATGTTGTGCGTTTAATTTACACAATATTTTGTTAATAAACGTACATGATAAACGCGTATTTAAACTTCTTAATAATTCGTGTGGTTTATACTACTTATTTTTTATTAATTAGTATATTTTTATTAGACAAAATATTCTGGAGTAGAAGGACTTAAAGATATTCCAGCGAAGTAAGAAATATTTTTATCCTTTCTCTGGAATACCTTTAAGTCTTTTTCAACGACACAATGACTTTTTTCAATATTTTCAATCACTTTAAAATTATATTATTTTTTTATCTCGAACTTACTTTACACTGACAATGAAGTAACTGAAATGCAGCATTTCTAATATTTCGAAGAAGTTCATCGTTTCGAGTAGACGGATTATTTAACCTTAATAGGTGTATTGTTTCATTGCATTCATTTGTAATGTTAGAAGATTGCAAATGCACTGGTGAGTTATTAAAATCAGATATGCTTCGATTTGAATGTAAATTTGATTCATTGTGTTCATCTGAATTATCATCAGTATATTTACTGGTCATATAAAAATCCAGGTAATTTGATGTGTTCAATATATCATTTGCTATTGGAATTAACTGTGATGATGACATTTTTGAAAATGTTAAATTATTATTTACAGATGTATTAGTTATTGTATCATCATTGATATTATTATTACTATAAGTTGATTCATAATCATTATTGCAGACCATTCCGAACATATTATTTGAAGTATTATAAGAATAATGAGTTTTGATAGAATCAATACTTGGAATTTCTTCTATACATTTATTTAAACTTGAATGAGTAGTAATATTAGTTGATTTTAACTGTTCCATCATTAATTCTTTATCTAAATCAATTTTCTCCAATAAATTTAATAATCGAGGTTGCTGTTGTTGATCATATTGCTTTTGATTAGGACTGATTGATCTATTGTTAATTTGATCATCTTCATAAGTAGACAATTGATTATCAATAATTATAATTGGTGATTCTAATAAACTACTACTACTACCACTAGTTTGTCTATATTTCATTCGATTTCTTTCATCATTATCACCTAATTCATATGTGTATTCATCATCTTTTTTGTTTGAATATATTGGAAAATCAGTTTTATCTTGTGATATATTTAATTGATGCGTTGATGGTGTTATTAATGATTCCGTTGAATCACTAAACATTGTCTTATTATAAGTTGTATATAGTTTTGAATGTTTAGGTATATGGATCACCTGAAGAACAAAAAAATACGCAGTACAAGATTATAAGTAAAATTAATTGGTATTACCTATTTGTCATATGATCATAGAAAAAGTATAATCAGTAGTATTAGTTGAATCTTGGATGAATTTTAATAGATAAATCTCGTTATCAAATGATTGTAGGTAGTTCATAGAAAAACTTTCACTTATTATTATTTATATTTTAGTATAAAAGTATTCTAACATAGATGCCAAGTTATTTCATAGATACACTGTAAAACTGACCCGTCGAACGCTATTTAAATCTAGTCTATCGATATAAAAACTTTATTACCGACAAACCTATTAGAATGTTATGCCCCCGCTTTAACTGATACAGATGAAACTGGAATATCAAAGGACTAAGTGAACTAGTCGAACAAAATCCTTAAAAATCATCTATAAGCATTAATCAGATATGAAAACTATGCAAAATTAATGTTAAAACTGTTCATAACATTGAATTGTGAAATTATTATCAATCAAAACAAGACAAAGAAATATAAAACAACTACGTGACACAACGAAGAGACTGGCAGGAACATACAGTAAACCAGAGAGACCAGTCAGAGGAAAAGAAGGCAAGCCAATCACTGAGATTCAAGAACAGAGGACAGATGGATGGAACACTTTGGATAACTCTTGAATTGAACAGCTCCATTGAATCCATCGGATATTGAAGCAGTACACACAGATCTTGCTATAGTTATCACTTCACCAACGATCAAAGAAATCAGGATGGCCATAAGACTAATCAAGAGTGAGAAAGCAGCAGGACATGGAAATATACCATCTGAAGCATTGAAGTCAGAAATGAAAATAACTGTAATCATGCTCTACGTTCTATTCAGGAAGATTTGAGATGGAGAACAAGTGCCGACGGACTGGAAAGAAGGATAACTCCTCAAGATACCAAAGAAAGGAGATCTGAGCAAATGTGAGAATCACAGAGGCATCACACTACTGTCGGTACCAGGAAACGCTTTTATTGGAGGGTTGGTGAATTGGATGAAAGATTCAGTAGACTCCCAACTTCAAGATCAACAGGCTGGATTCTGTAAGGATCGGTTATGCAGAGATCAAATCGCGACCCTACGGATCATTGTTGGACAATCAGTTAAGTGGAACTCGTCACTATATATCAACTTTCTTGATTATGAGAAAGCATCTGACAGTGTTTATAGGACAGCCTCATAAAACCTTCGACACTATGGCGTAACTCAGAATATCGTCAATATCATCCGGAATTCATACGACGGACTACATTACAAAGTCTTACATGAAGGCCAGCTGACAGATTCATTTCAAGTCAAGACCGGAGTGAGACAAGACTGCTTACTCCCGCCCTTCCCCTTTCTTCTGATGGTTGACTAGATTATGAAGACCTCGACATCTGACAGGAAGCACAGAATACAATGGTTAGCTTGGATGCAACTGGATTATTTGGACGTCGCAAACCACCTAGCTATTCTATCCCATATTTACCAACAAATGCAGATCATGACAAACAGTGCAGTAGCAGCCCCTGCATCAGTAGGCCTCAACATACACAACAGAGAAAGCAAGATCGCCAAATACAACACGGTGAACACCAACACAACCACACTTGATGGAAAAATCTCTGGATTGGGTGGAAACATTCACGTACCTGAACAGCATCATCGATGAATGTGGAGGATCTGATGCAGACGTAATAGTAAGGATTGGTAAAGCAAGGAAAGAATTTATAAAGTTGAAGAACATATGAAACTCAAAAAAACTGTTAACCAATATCAAAGACAGGATATTCAATACGAACGTCAAGATAGTTAGTTCTATTGTACGGAGCTGAAATTCCGAGAACTACTACAACCATCAGCAAGAAATTAGGTCTTTTATAAACAATTGTCTACGCAAGATATTCAATGTCCGTTGACTGGATACCATCAGCAACAGTCTACTATGGGAGAGAAAAAAATCAGCTACCAGTTCAAGAGGAAATTAGGAAACGATACTGGAAGTGAATAGGACATACATTACGAAAATCATCAAATTGCATCAACAAAGCAAGCACTAACTTGGAATCCTGAATGGAAATGGAAAAGAGGAAGATCAAAGGATGAATAACAATTAGAAACAACTGGAAAGTATTGTCCAAGACAGAGTTTGATGTAGAATACTGGTAGGTGGCCTAGGTTTCTCCAATAGGAGTAAGAGGCGTAAATAAGTAATATCATATTGCTAGCCATAACAAAAAGAACAGGAAATGTAACCTTTAATTACTGTTTATTATTTAATTAAACCACTCGAAAAAAATTACCTTCCTTCGTAGGTTTACATTATCTGTCCATTCAGACGACATATTAGATGTCATAGCTTGATTTTCATTCCCTATAATATTCTCTTGTTTAATTGAATTATTATTATTATTATTATTATTATTATTATTATTATTATTATTATTATTACAGGAATAATTGTTTATTGAATCATTTTTAGTAACTTTATGTAGACTAGATGTAGTGAAATTTTCTAAACTACTATCAGTATTATTCATCTGTTGATATTTATCTACATTAAATTGAAATAATAATTTTGATGTTTGATAATTATTTTCTTCATCATTTGTTTGACTATATAATCTCGGTTTAACTGAAACCAATGTATGATATCGATTTAAAAAGGACTTTGACGGTGAATAATATTGACTACCTGAGGATGTGAATGATGAATGTAAATTTTTAAATAAACATCTTTTACTTTGAACTAATGTATCATCATTATTATTAGAAATATTATTACTATCAGTATTATTATTCATAACAACAATAGGAGAATTATTCAATTGTTTGATAGTAGGTAATGAACATAGATCTTGGTATTCTTCTTCTTCTTCATAAATATTAGTTAAATAATTTTCATTCTGTACACTATTATATTCAGTTATGATTGTTGAATTAGAAAATTTATTGTAATCATTATGATTTAAATGATGAAATATCGATTTATTATGATCTTGTACAGTTAATTCATATGGATCATTAGATTGTTGTTTATTAATACTGATTGAATGATGAATTGAATTATCGATTGTTGAATTTAAATTATATGATTCATTTGAATTTAAACAACAATTTGATTTTAATGTTGAATATAATGTGGAATTTGTCAATGGACTACACAATGATAGCGATGATAATGGGGATGAAGGTAATTGGGAACAATAACGAGAAGTTCGATCATTTCTTATTGGTGATGACGATGTGTTCACGATTTCATCGATTTTCATATGTTTCGAATTTAATTCATTATTACTATTATTGTTATTATTATTATCAAGAATACAATAATTCTCATTCATTATATTGACATTTGCCTCAAATGTTGGTAGAATTTCTTTTGAATCAATTCTCCTAACTGTTGGATTGAATCGTTGTAAATTATTCCGATTTATATCATCGTCTTGTGCAATGTTCCAATTTGACATAGACAATTGTGGCTCATTGCCGATTATTTTTGTTCTTAACACGGTATCATTCCATTGGTTAGGTTCTTTTTTTAACTGTAAATTTTCATAATGTAAATATTCCTTATTTTTGTCTTCTTTCCTTAATTTTTTATTATGATTATTATTACTACTCTCAATGGTATCAGTAGTAGTAGTAGTAGTATCATTATTAACAGTACTATTTAAATATATTTGATTGTATCTTCTTGTTTTAACAATATTATCTCTATTTTCGCATAAATCAGAATTTGATTCGAAATTACTCTCATTGTATTGTATTTGAAAATCTTTTTCATGTTGACTATAGAATTGTGCTGCTCTAGATAAATTTATTAAACCAATTGACGAATAATTATTATTTATCAATTCATTAAATTCTTTTTGTTTATTTAAACAATCTACACTTTCTGATATCGATTTTGTTGCCGTAATAGTAGTAGTCATTGTCGGTGGTGGTGGCGGATGAGGCGATGTTCCTGATACAACTAAAATCATTGCTTCAGAATTAGTTGAAGTTGAAGATAGCTGTGATGTGGGATTAATGATGAATTCATCATCCTGACTAGATAAACAATTATTTTCACAGAATTGTATTTCATTAGAATCTTGATGACACATTGTTTGAACATGTACTGAAGGTGTACAATTTTGATATAATGATGTAAAATCTACTTTTGACGGTATTCGTAGATTATTATCATTATCACTTAATTCATGTAATTCATTATCTTGTTCTGTAAGTTTTACATTGATATTTGATTCTGTAGTTGACAACTGTTGATAAGGTTCTATAATTAAATGTGTCAAATCTGTAGTTTTTATAGTGGATTGATTTAAACAGTTCTTTTGAGTTGAAATCATTCTCTCCTTACTAATATTATTATTATCATTATCATTAATTTTATATTTATAATGGTCTTGACTTAATGAATCATTCAGTTTATGTAATGAATTATTTACTGGAGATAATAAATTATACGACGAATGATAATTTGAAATTACTGGACAATTGGATTTTGAATATTGTTTAGAATGTGCAGTTGAATTGGATACTGCTAATCGAATTTGTTCAATTTCAACTGCACATCGATGTTTAATAGCATTAGGTTGACGACCGATACGACTGCCTGGAAAAATTTATATGAGAATTAAAAAATAAATAATTATACCAAAATTAACTAAATGAATGTTAAGTGTTTATGGAGGTCTACTTTCATTATGGGCTAACATTGGCCGATTGAGTCACATCATTTTTTTTTAAAACCATACTACCTTACGAATATCATACACATTTATATCTGATAGTTAATATCGTTTTGAATTTTCTTTTACATTTGGAGTCAACTTGGTGAAATAATAAAAATATCATCAATGTCAACACTGTTGTACCAACTAACATATCTCATTTTACTTTCGTATAAAAGGGACAGCCAAATGTATTTGAATACAAAATTACAGAATCTCTTAGTATAATCTAAGAACCATACAGTAAATACTTCATATGCAAAATATCCAGCAATTGTTTCAGACTTTGTTGTTCCATAGTTTCAATACCAATCACTCTCTGTTATAGTTCTCTTCTCTTTGATTCCCTCTAACTTCTGTCGTTAGGTATTCCACTTTTGATTGGTGATACATACTATATATATATCTGTCGACATCAGTAGCACACACAATAATACTACTCCTCTACCGTTGACATCTAAATATAACTGTATTATAGTTAAAAATATATGTGAATAATCAGAATAGTATATATGCACTTACCATGTTTTGACATACCAACAGCTAAACATCTACGGTATCGACAACTTTTACAATTATTTCTTGTAGCACCGGTAACAGCACAATTACCTCCATTTCTGCAAGTGTAGCGTTGACTTTCTCGTTCATTAATTGTTCGTCGAAAGAAACCCTTAAAGTAAGTTTGTTTTTAAAGACAAATAATAATTCAATAATTAACTTGGAATAATCTGTAAATGTTTTTAAAGCTGCAGATTGATGAATTCGATAGTGAAGCAGTATAAATTAAGCGGTTACCAAAGCTGCATCCCGCCATTGTGATTATAGCCTTGGTGACCTACAAACGATTCTCTGAGAACATAAAGGTGAGGGTTTTTATTCTCAAAATGCTCTCTGTGAATTCTAAATTCTCCAATCTCGGAATCAGCACATATCTCATCCTTTTCTATAACAGTTTTCCTAATCGGTAAACATTTTAAGCGTACCTGCTTTACAATTTTTAATTAACCATTACCCTCTTTTTCTAGATCAACTTGTTACTAGTCACTTAATAAACACTTAGTAAAATAAGCCTACTCGTCATCGTAATGAAAGTCATGTAGAATGTTTTTTTAATTTAAACAGAAGCTTAAGATCACCTCGTGGAATGATTTGGCTGCATATTGATCAACCTATTTATATGATACATTCAAGAGATCATTCAAAAATCAGGGGAAAAATAACTGCTTGGAGAAATTGTGAATAATTCCCGATACTAGTAATACCAAGCCTGATATAAGGCGGTTAAAGATCATTAGATCCAATCCCTGGATATAGGTTTCCGTGTAGACGCAACAGTTACCAGTCTAAATGATTCAGTAGATTCTCTTTAATTGTATATTCTCTATGATTGAAACTTTGCTTATAAAATCAGATAATATCCAGCCTCCCCCCACTTCCAATATTCCTTATTCCTATATTTTTATTTCTCTAAAAACTCTTTTCTACAGATGTTCTTCATCAGATTTGTGAGGGACTTTCTAATAAAAGCCTAATGCTTCGTCAAAAAAAAAACATTTTACAGCAGACATTCATTGTCGTGAAATCAATAAAATGGAATAATCAAATAAACTAATTGTTTATTAATTGATTTTTGATTGTTTTTTCATGCTTTTGTTTATCTGTAAATTTATGTAAAATAATTTATTGGATTCTGTTTATTATGTATGCTTGTTTTCCCATAAGAATCAAACCTTGTGGAGTCAAATTACTGTCACCTATCGGGCTGATTTGAAACATATGCATTTAGTTACAAAAAATAAAAAGAATAATGTTATGAAGTCACTAATTAATGCTGAGCTTTAAAGAAATGTAAGCATTCTCTTTTAGTACAGAATTATTTCTGCTTTAAATTCATCAGATTACTTTTCTTAATAGTTGATATGAGTCAATTGAAGCTGGACCATCATGGAAAACTTGGAACCACTGGACGGCCGTTTTATCTGATTGTGGGACTCTTCAGCAGTGCACATCCACGATCCCGCCTCGCGAAATTCGAACCCAGGACCTATCGGTCTCGCGCTCGAACTCTTAACCTTTAGACCACTGAGCCGGCATCCAACGGTATTAATGTCTAACCTCAACCAATCCACAAAATTAAGCAAGATATCTACGATTGTCGTCAGTGAGTTATCTCACAGCAGGCCTGGTTGAACTCCCCAGGTCACTGCTTTTCACTAGAACTCCAGGAAATACCTCTTGAAGTCAGTCATTAGTGAGCATATGCTGATTAATATCAGACCAGGTTTTTCGTGATGGTCTAGCTTCAACTGACTCATGATCTCAACTATTAAAATTACTATAATATCCACAAAAACCCATTTGATATTCATCATGTTGCATTTTACTTTCAAAGTCTGGATAAATTATTGAAAACTTTTTCGGAAATTCCCTCAAGAAGTAAACGGGAACAGAGGAATTGGTGAATACCTAGAGATCTGTCGTGTTTAATTCATCTGAAGTGTAGAAAGATGTTTGACATTAGCGATAAATGTGCATTTTTTTAATAGTGAGAATTTTCATCGCTGAAAATGTGTAAATGACAATGAAGTTTTCTTTTAAAAAATTAACTCTATTAATCAATTCAGATATTTATTTATCATTTACCTTACAACCCTCACATGTTATTGCACCAAAATGGAATCCAGATGATTTGGCGCCACAAACACGGCATGGTATTTCTGATATATCAGTAACTGGAAACACCGCAGCTCCTATCGATTAATCGAAAAAGACAAAATAAATTGATTAGACTAATTTTGAAAAACTTCACTTCATTAGTCAGTTATAAACGCATTTAACATATTGTCATGAACGGAAACGAATAAATCGCAATCATAATAATATTATTTCATACTTTACAGCACAAACTGATCTTAGACGACAATGAGAACCATGAATCAATAGACAGCTGTTTTGTCACAGTATGGGATAAGTCAGAGGTACTCATCCACGACCCCATTGGAAACGAACGAAAGACTTTGAGGACTCGAGTCAAGCCCTTAACCTTCGTACCAAAGAGCCGGCATCCAACGGTCCACATGTTCAGTTTCAGTTAATCCACGACGTTGCTGTAGAATTTTTTAATACCAGTAGTAAGTAATTGCCTAACACTTGGTTTGTTTGAATTCCATTGATCGTGGCTTCATTCTTAAACTTCAAGAACTGCTAATCGAGTAAACGATCATTATTACTATATGGTGGATTTGTGTAGATTGACGAACTTCATAGTTTAGCTATGATCAGTCTGAGATTTAAACTATGAAATTCAACAAACTCCATAAACCTCACTACTTTGATAGTAATACTATTAATGAATGAATGCACCTGTCTCATAGTGATCGATTTTCAAGCCTTGTATCATCTGTAATAAGAAATCCAATAGTGAAAGAGTGTAAATTATCCACGATATAAATCCAGAATATTCTAATGGTAAACTGAATCGACTGTTTTCTTTACCAAAAATCGCTGTTTTAAGTAATAGGCATATAATAATGCTGTTCACATCAATAGAGTTGATCATGTCAATAATATTGTATAGACAAACCATCTTAAAATGTCATGTGTAAATTATATATGACTTTCTGAATAAATCTATGATAATTAGAAGTATTTGAATTATTATACGAACTAGGAATCCAAGAAATAACGCAAATTAGACCAAGAAGAACTAGGTGAGCACGAACGAATATATTGCATTTGGAATTCGAAATCAGACAGTCACCAAGTACAAAAGAATCATTGGTTCGTACAAGCAACACAAAATTACTTTTTTCATCACCTTAATAAAATGAATACCAGGTACTGAAATTACACAGACCACCTATATTTCTGTACTAATAGTCTGATTATATAATTTGTTACACCTCATTATATTTCCACGAATGATGAGACATGCTTAAGAAAAAATTGACGGGGATCAGCCTAAATGGAGCAGCTGAAATTCAAGAAATAATAGTTAATCAGTCATAATTAATGTCGAGTCGGCCTTAGTTGCCACACCATATTAGCATATTGAGATGATAATAAAAAGATAAATAAAGTAATCGAAATCATACAAGAATAATGATAATGCGAACAAATAAGCAATGAGAATACGGTTCGAAAAGACAAAAAAAGATAAAGAATCAGTGAATATGTGCCATTCTAACCGGTATGAGCCATGTCACCCAACATCTCCAATCGCTGATCAATTGGATCCCAACAACATAGTCCGCATCTGCCTACACGGCTCAATCCAATAGCAAATGTTTTCAGAGACTATTGCTACATTTCGGCTCCTCCCAAAAAAAAACCTGTCTACGTAATCCTAAAACAGTTAACATTGCCCGTTGAGACAGTTGATTGCTAGGGTTGAGTAACATACATCCAAACCACCTCAGTAGATGATTTACAATATCTTCAACCATTTTGTCATATTTGCCTAGTACCCTATACCTAACTTCAGCATTGTACATCCAATATGTGTGATATATTGAAGACACCTATGATAAAAGCCTGAAGCCTATCCATGTTTGTAGTATTGGACAAGTGTTCTATCCTCATTTGAGATCAATAAACGGCAATGTACATATATACGACCTTACATTAAATTGAGCTGAGAACATCAAATTCCTATTAATAATTCATTCAGTCAGCAAAATTAGTCAATTTAAAATTCAACACAATCTTCTTTGAATGTCGTCATCAATGAATGACTGTTTCATTCTTCAGTTGATGGACTCAATTAGTTGACCATAGCGGCTACTATTTCACATTCCAGCTTGTTCACCCCCTAAACCAGTCACTTGGAGGTTTATGATGATTATTAATTCAGGTAATTTAATCTATAAGATAATAAACGTATGATCAAACTTGTACCACAACATATGCACATTCAATATTAAACTTAATTATTTATCTGAGAAATTTTCATGATCTATCAACAATAATAATTATATTAACAAAAAAATGGAAGAGTGAATTCCCATGCAGTGTTCTCGATTTTTTTGAAAACAAATCTACCCGACAAAGTTATAGAAACTAATCTATAGAAAGGATCAATATGATGTGACAATGTTTATATATGTAAATACACTTGACAATGGATGATAATTCTTTAATCTTCGAACTATTATTTGCTTATTTTCAATGTATGTATGTAAATGTAAGTATTTCACTATCTTTCTAGAAGATCACGTTCTATGAGATTTGTACACTTTCTTTTTTCAACTAATTACTATGAACGTGTATAATCTCTATGATTTCTAAATAGCCTAGTAAATATGACCATCAGGTGTATAGTTGAAGTAATATATTTTTTTTCTATTCTATTTATTCATTTACATCTTTGGGTAGTTTTGATGGTGTAAAAGAGAGGGTGAGAGAGAGAGAAGAGAAGTATTAAGTTTAAACTAATAGAACCGTTATTATATATAATAGGTCGGATTTATTTTATTAATAAATAAGCACGTTTAACAGTCAAATGATTAATGAGTTTTTATTATTATGCGGTAAATAGTATCATGATATGTATACAGTTAATTAAATTTACATTCCTAGTTGATTTATTCATACATATAAAAGAAAATTAGATTCTTATTAAAGTCTAACGTTTCCAAGACTATCCTATCAACTGAGCAATTTTATATCAGCTGTTAAGATAAATTCAATCCTGAATATTAACAATGGAATTTTAAACTCTTACGAATAAACGTCGTACAGAATTTTTTTTAAAAAATAAGCTAGTGGCTACGTTGGATTGAAGAGCCTAATTGAATTTGAGTTGGTGCTTGAATCGATAAGTATTAATTTCTGGTCTCTGTGTAAAAATCAATGCAATAATGAGGTTCTATCCAGCTGATGGATCATATGTAAGACGAAATGCATGTCCTAGATTCTACTGATGATCACAAAGCAGTCATTAAAATTGTTTAATCGTCCGCTTTGAGATAACTTATAGGTAACCATACTACTAGTCATTAGATTCCATTCCATTTTTATTCATAGTATGTGGTAAAATCGATTTGTGACTAGGTATCTTTATTTAAAAAATTTGAATTACCTTTCACTAAAGCAGTGTAGTATTATTAGCTACAAGAGAGAAAACAGAGAAATAAAGGTTTAAATTCAATTAAATATCACTTCCTGCCAAACATCCATTACATAAAAAGCTCTAATCTTCACTAGTAGACGTACATAATTGTGGAATATGACTGAAAATTATCAGCTATACTCAGATTTTAGTAACAAAATGACTTTTATCGCTTGTTATAATGTATGCTTCTCGAGTTAAATGTTCCAATTCTCGTTTTTTTCGTTTTGTTAAAGAGACTATTTCTCATAACTTACATAGCATTACATTGTTGCGAAACGAAACGAGGATATACGTCGATATAAGCAGAAATCTGAAGCAAGTGTAGACAAAGAGTATATGCTTTATGTGATTACCTATAAATCTTATTCAGAAAATTGATCAACCAATCTAACGAGTACATATTGATAACAACGAATACTGTGTAATGAACAAATAAAGTACTAATTATTTTTTCTGGAAAATGGTAATATAAATATTTATCTAAAAATATAAATTCACTTACCCGGTAACACCATGCCTAATCGTATACACTTTTGATAACGACATCGCTGACAATGTGTACGTGTATCTTTATTGATTTCACATGTATTCGACTTGGTACATGTATATTTAGTGAAATTTTCTCCTTTTGAACTACGAATAAAAAATTTCTGTGATCAAGAAACAAAATTTTGAAAAGAAATTTATTCTAAGGATCGTCGGTATATATATATATATATATATATATATATATATATATATATATATATATATACATATATATGGGCATCAGTCAGAGTTACCACACCAAGATCCCAGAGTAGTAAACGCACTAACAGTATTAGTAGTAGAAAACACTAAGCATTGAAAAGTAAATACGTATTCTCAAAATAAAAGCATTTTTCAGGTAATAAAATTAGGAATAAACGGACGCCAATAGGTGAATGTGACTGTGTTATTAAGAACGAGTTTCTGTGTCATGTCACTCAAAGTTTAATCACTGGGTATGATAGTTGCGCAAATATCAATCAGGTAATATACATTTGCTAACGTGGCTAAGTTCAACAACCAATGACTTCATAGACATGTGCACTGCTGAGGAATCCCATACTAGGAAAAATAACCGTTTACTGCTCCAGATATTTAATGGTAGTTTAACATTAATCGCTTCATGCTTTTAATGAGATATGAAGTAGGTGTAAAATGTGGATATTTTATTGACAATTCTAAAGTTTATACTAAAAATACAGAGAGAATAAAGAAACAAATTTCATGATGAGCACCATAATTTCAAATCGCTAAGGTTAAAATTGTAATGTATCCGACTATTTTGTCTTCATTACAAAAGCTAAGTGTTTTGGACCCCAACAAACAAATAACTGTCATCATTCGAATTGGTTACTTTAGGTATACCTATTGAAGGACCATATAATCTACAGACGACTTACCCATGGATATAAAAAACCTAGTTTATCAGTCAGAATGTCTATAGACTACATGATACGCTTAAACAACACATGAAAAACTTTCCACTGGTCTTGTTATAATTTATTAAGATAGCTAAGTGAACTGGTGTACTGAAGCACACTTGTGATGGAAACTATTATTGCAAAAAAAACTATTCATTTTGTGTTGGAAATATAAAAACAAGTTACATATTCGTTTGTAACATTAATTTTGCTACATTGCATACATTCCCCCTGTAAAAAACTGTTATTATTTTTTTAAAAACCTGTCTGCATATATCATATTTGTGGACGAAATTTAAAGATATTACTACCTGTAAAGACCCTTGTGTTGGTCAAAGGGAAAAAAATTGTGAGGTGATAACCATAATTACCAATATAACCAACCAATCAAATTTCCGATTCCCTAACCTTGTAACGGACAAAAAATAGGGTTGTGATTCATTACATCCAATTAGAATTAACCTAAACATTGTTTAGCAAGGGCAAACAGCAGACAAATGATGTGGTCATGACGACAGGAATAAAGAGATATGTACACCAGGAGTTAAAACAAAATACAAAATCTAATAGATTGCAGACATAACAATGACGCGATAATGTAAGATGAAAGGTAGGATTTAAAACAATCAAAAATGAAAACAGGTGGTAGATTACACGTAATTGAAACATATCAGGGACATTCGTAAACTAAAATATACCTGTTTAGACATGCGAATTTACACATATGACGCATTGTGAATACAGACACACGGCGATTGTTCTTAAATTACCTAGAAAAATCAGTATGAGGAATTGTAGAGATTGAAATTAGACATTAACACAGTTGAATAACGGCTCAGTAGACTGGAGGTTAAGCGTTCGAGTGTGAAGCCGAGGGTCCTAGGTTCGAGTCCCTCGTGCAGGACCGTGGGTGCGCGCTGCTAAGGGGTCCCATACTAGGACGAAAAGGCCGTCCAGTGCTTTCAGGTTTTAAGTGGTGTTTTAGCTTATACCGACTAGTGGTTTCAACTGTTTTCTGATGCCTACTTAAAACATATACATAAAATTCATCGAAGGGGTTGAATTAATTCACTGCAGAGAAAGTAAAATGAATGATTTATTCTATAGAAATTGGCTTTTTAAGTTCTCATATGTATTTGGCAAGTATGACCCAACTGTTTACCTTCCGGTTGCATTCGCATATAAACAATTACTTATTATATATGACGTGAACGTTAATAGACAGTTTCCATCTCATGTACTAACATTATATACAGAACTAAATTACCTTCCGAATCGGGTCTAATATTATGCTATTACTAATCAGTGATTGCATACGACTCCATATAGGATCAAACTCAGGACATTCGAGTTTTTCTTACTTAATCAGTTATCTGACACAATCCTAATCACACTTCGTCGGTAATCTCTGACCATATTCCAAACCCGGTCAACTCTATAAATTGTGAGTTCTCGACAGAATTTCTGGAAATTCAACAGTAAAAGCTTAATACTAGATATCATACACAATTATTATTTATTCATGGAGGTTTGCGTCTAGTCTGAAATCAACTTCCATTGAGAATCTGAATAGTTATGGAAGAGCTAAATGTTCGTGATTCAAATCGACTTATCCAATTAATAAATGGGTGAATCTAATCAACGTTAATAATTTTTTAAAAAGTCCACTTAAATAAGAAATATATGCACATTTTGTCAATCCAACAACTATACATGTACTAAGCATATGCGAACAAAGTCAACACCATATGTGTAAAGAAAAGATCAGTAGCAAAATGAAATGTAACCAGGGGGTGAATCGATTCATTCACTGTATTTAATTACTTGATAGAATTTCTAACTAACTTAGATATAATCATGTCTGTAAATTCGAACTAATCATTCTGAATAAGTCAATAATTAATACATAAATGAAATCCAATAATCAATAATGACAAATTATGTATCGGTGATTTTGAAGGGTACTTTAAATGTGTGTGTGAGGGGTTGTGGTAAAACTGGAAATAATAGTTATATTTTCTGTAATATTCTTTTAATAATATTATCAAAATTATAATGTCATTAGAATATCACAAAACTTTGGTTTAAATACACAGCATTGAGATTTTCGAATCCCCTTACTGATACGTGCAAAATGATTTGCAGATCGTTAACATATTTTTAAAAAAAAATTATCTCTCTCTTACTCAAAGTATTTAAGCATTGACTATCAAAGACTGAATGAAGAACCGACTTAATTTAAACAACTTGATAATCTGTCAAGTAGCTAATCATTAAATAAGAATGGTTAGTGAAAGTAAGAAGGGAGTCAGATACACGTAGTGCTAATGAATACTTTTTAGAAAAGCGTGTACATAATGTTAAACAAAACGGATCCTTTCCTGATGATATTTAATTCCTTGTCATCTAATAAAGTAGTCAATGAATATACAAATGACTTTAATGGTATCAAAGGATTCGCTACAGCATTATAAAGCATGTGGGCCGACGGGAATCGACCCGTATATCTTAAGTCACTAAACCATGTAAACGGAGGACATAGAACACAACACAATAAAATGTTCAAAGTTCTGTTTGTCATGATCATTGAACATTTAATATGATCGTAAAAATATGCCATAAATTGGTGACAATAAATTTATTTCAGTTCTAGTAAGGATCTGTGACCAGTGAAACTCAACAACGTCGAACTTGAAACAAATATCACCGATGACACTCTATGATGATCGCAAAGTATCGCAAATTTACAGCAACTGAGAATGTAGCCATTTGGTGGTTTCCAGTGTCCTATATACTAAGTACTTCCTATGATGTTTGAAGGTTCTTTATTAAAAACTGAATATGAAAGCTCACTGCACAAGAATTCCACACTACAACTAGAAAGCTGTCCACTGTTTCTTGATTTTTAATTACTGTCTGACCACAATCAATCCATGACGTAAATTTCAGAATCCAAACAGCTTGAAAACCGCCTAAACTAACAAAAAGAAACGGTTAAACAGTTTTCTCATCTTTTAAAAATAAACGGAATACACACATTAAAGACATTATCACGTGATGTGAGACAGATCCAAACTCTGCATCAGGCTTATCATATACTCAGAGAATAATACTATGTTTATTGATACAGTGTTAAATAAGCAGGCTTACTGTTCAGCCTCATTGCCTGAAATATTATTTCCATCTAAGAAAAGGGCGAATAAATGGTAATAGGATGATTTCAAAGCTTTATGACAGTGAGTCAGCATACATATTTATTAATCTATATTTACCAATTCATTCATTTCATGATATTTCGACTATTCTGTTGTAACTGTACGTTTCCGTTTGACTCATCAACTGTTGCCATGTCATTCCCATTCACAAATCACCACTAATTATAATCATCAATCATTTATTACTTAAACATTGTACCAATATATTCCAACTACCTACATTTCGTGATTCATTGCTTATTTTGTGTTGTGGATCTGTGTTGTATGTTGTTCGTTGTATGTTGTATTTGATCACATGAGTTCTGAGTCAACTAACTGATAATACAAAATACTTCATTGTTTTCGCAATGATCTAATAATGGAATTGGGAATGATTGAGAAATTATGTGTGATCAACTGACCTGAAAGCTTATCGAATGTACAATATTTCAGTTAGAGAACTAATAATTTATGTATATGGAAAGTGAAAAAAATCATGTTAACATGAAAATTTTTTTCAGGCATTGATCAAAATTATGCAGTCCAACAGGAGATGGTAACATATCCTGTTTGATTCCTGAACAACCATATGTTGAAACTGTCATGGAGTCCAATACTAGAACGAATCAACTCTCCAGTCCTTCCTGGTTTTCAATGGTACTCTATCTAAGATCATTTTTACAATGAATATAGACTATAAACTAAATTGATCTCTATAAAACTCCTTCAGCGAAACTATTCATGAATTTATTCAGTTGTGTTCAGTTTTCCGATAGTGAAACACTAAAAAATGAATCCATTTTTTTCTTTAATTTCACATAACGATATCAGTAACCGATAGAACTAAATGCTGAAAATTGTATGAATACTGTTAATTCTTTCTTCGTCTTCTCCCTTCGATTATTTGATAGGTTTTTAACACTTATAAAACAATATTCATAAGGAGTAGCTGACGCAAAAGTTAACTGTTTCCAACATATAATAGCATCATCTAGTCTGCTTATTGAT